CTGCAGGATGCCTCCTCCTGCCACACCTTACCTCCTTGGACTCCGAATGGGCCTGGACAAGAGTCTGCTTCAGGAATTGGATTGCAAATGCTCATTTGATCCGTTGCGAGGGCCAAGCCTTCAACGGATGTGAACAATTCCATTTAGTTACCCCGGAATCTTCAATTTCAAAGGGAGCTTCAGCTCAAGCATCAGAAAGCCTGTCTCGCGAGAAACGGGGCTCACCTGGCCTCAAGCTCACTTCTTGTCTCGTTGGCATGTAACACGGCAACTACGTTGCTCGTGCCAGGCCAGCCATCAACCAGAACGAGCTCAACACAGGCTTCGTGGTTGCTGGTCAAATCGATGGGCCCAAAACCGGAAAACCGAAGTCGGAGTGACTTAACATTGGCTCTTTCGCACACACTCGGTTCCTTTTGTCGTTAGAAGGTCCAGCTGACTCCTGGAAAAGGGTTTCAGGGGGTTCAGCCGCCTACAATCGGGGCCCAAATGGCGCCTGCGCGGCCAAGTTGCCCAAGAATACACAACTCAAGATGTTGGGTGTGTCTCAAAACTCGGACCCCCAGAACTGGTTGCCTTGCTTTTCGTTTCCTTCCAGCTGAGCTTTGCTTTCGGAAGGAAGCTCCCGTGCCGAGACCCTGGGTCCACAGCACCGCTAGAGCGCTACGTCCGGGGCTCAGGACCGGCGATTCCAGAAGGCCCAGGGCAAGTGTCACCTCACGGCCCACGGACCCTGCAGTCCGAGTCAATCTTCCATGGTACCCTAATTTTTGATACTGTACCTGGACATAGGGTCAGGTCGACGCCGTCGAGGCTGGACCACTGGGAGTGGTCCCTAGTGGCTTGGGTTCAAACTCCATCAAACAAGACAAGTCCCCGGTGGCCACAAGCAATTGCAGCTTTCTATCCGAAGATCCTGAGCATGAGCGCCGTGATGTCGTTGCGTCAACCACCCCGGCGAAATCCGAAACAATTGCTCGAAGTGCCCAAGATGCAAACTGCACTTTGAAACTGCGCACTTGCAGGCTCCAGGATGTAACTTTTGCAAATCAACACCGTCATAGCACATCCTAGCGTCTGCAAGGACAGCTTCATGCGTTCAAAGTACTGGCACCATTCAACGGTGTCAAGACCAAACTGAGGATCGGAATCTGTCCTGCTATAATTGTAATAGGCGAAAATGCTTAAGATCCAAACTCTAACCCAGTCAGGGAACCACTTGTGCTTTAAACCTGCCACCACAGGTCGCCCAAAGTTGCTCTATTCTGCTTCTAGCTCAGGCGCATCGCATCAAAATGCGGCCGTTTGCTTGGCACAACCGGACTAATTATCAGTCTGAAGAGGACACCAGCACTTCAAAACTGGGCCAACTGACTCACAATCTTTGTCTTGCCAAAACAAAGTTTCTCTTGCCAAAACCAAGCGGCATTCCGCGCAGCTTCCAGCAAGGCAGTGTTCCCGTTGTTCCCCCGGCACCACCATCTACTGGATTTCCGAGCTGGAAACACTCGCGGTGGCTCGTAATTTAGGCCCGGGCTGCATAGGGCCTCACCTGAGCCGACCCAACAGTGAGCTTCCAACGGAGCCCTCCCCAGAGACGCAAAACACACCGCTGACAAACCGGTGTTCAGAAGTGAAAATGGATCCCCGCAACGGGTGCGGATGTCGCTTCCAATTCGCTAAATTGGCCATTGGCGGTCACCGAATAGCCCCCCAATATATCAGGGTCCTATCCAAGGAACAAAAAAGCGACCTTCATAACCCCTTCATAACCTCCCAATAACACACGAAGTCAAAGGCGCCGTAAGAATCCTGGACTCGTACAATCTCCCTTCGAATTGAAAGGAACCACCAGGAAGCACACGGGGGATCAATATTCCTCCCCCCCCCCCCAAATGACCATGGGTAACTTTTCCCATTTAGTGGGAAATATCATCATTGTCGTGGCTTCCCCCAATGGTCATCCCATGTATATAAAGGACCTTTTGATCAACCCCCACGTGTTGCAGGCAAAACTGACTTGGGCGCGTGCCGCGGGCACTCGGACGCAAATGTCCACGAACTGCTCCGCCACAGTGGTCGAGTAGCTGGACTCCATGTTCCTCGCGCGAAAACATCGCACCGAAAACTGGTTAGCCTATGGAAAGTCCAAACCATGGGAGGAATTAGCTACATGTTAGATTTCCCCAGAGGAGAGCATTTTTTAATTCTATTGCCTCCTGCTACCTGTGGCTAAATCTGGCTGAACGAAATACCCTCCTTGACTACGTGTAGAATCAAAGTCTGCTTGTGGCTTTGATCCGAGCCCGACGCCGGTACAAATGTGTCAGTGGACTACATTGACTGACTCCTTGATTGTTCTAATCACACTGTCAATTGAGCAAATGAACTGCGCAATGAAACAAGCAAAATTATGTCACCCGCAAAAGTGCAGCGAGAAAGTTGTGCACTAGCACATCGTTGGTCCTCTAGAAAACGAAATGAAAAAACGGAAAAGAGTGGCTTCAAAACATGGCCAGGCGCCCTAAGATCGGGTGAATACCTAGGTTCTCCTTTACTGCCGACCAAAAGTGGTCGCCAAATTCTGAAATGGCGGTTGACCCCTGCCTCAAGAGGGGTTGAGGGCAAAACCTCTGGTTTGATTCCGAACCTCTCCTCGTTTCCCACTTGTTGCAAAAGATCAAGCTGATGTCCGCTCCAACTGTCTTCCATGTCAGCTCCATCGACTTCCCTGTTCAACAGCAAACTGCTTGAACAGCACACTGCGAGTGCCATACCAACAGAAAGAAAGACAAATGAACGAGCGAGCAAGCAAGCAAGCAAGCAAGCAAGCAAGCAAGCAAGCAAGCAAGCAAGCAAGCAAGCAAGCAAGCAAGCAAGCAAGCAAGCAAGCAAGCAAGCAAGCAAGCAAGCAAGCAACAAGCAAACAAAACAAACACACACAAACACACACACAGACAAAAAAAAAAACAAGCAAGCAAACAAACATCCAAACCAACAAACAAAACAAGCAAGCAAGCAAGCAAGCAAGCAAGCAAGCAAGCAAGCAAGCAAGCAAGCAAGCAAGCAAGCAAGCAAGCAAGCAAGCAAGCAAGCAAGCAAGCAAGCAAGCAGCGCAAGAGCAACGCAAACAAAACAAACACACACAAACACACACACAGACAAAATAAAAACAAGCAAGCAAACAAACATCCAAACCAACAAACAAAACAAGCAAGCAAGCAAGCAGGCAAACAAGCAAACAAACAAACAAACAAACAAATAACAAACAAACAGCCAACCAAGCAAACAAGCCAACAGGCAACCAAGCAAACAAGCAAACAAACAAACAAACAAGCAAACAAGCAAACAAACAGACAAAGAAACAGAGAAGCAACCATACAAACAAACAAACAAACAAACAAACAAACAAACAAACAATCAATCAATCAATCAATCAATCAATCAATCAATCAAACAAACAGAGAACCAAAGAATCCCTTGAAGTCCTTGCTCGAGACGTGTCTGGAAGAATCGTCCGATGCTAGAACATCTCTCCGCAATGCAGGTGTTTCAGGACAATACTTGCAAACCTTCTGAGAGGCGAAGGTTAACATCGCCCCGTCCCAGTGTGCCTGCTGATCTCCCCCAGGATGAGCAGGTACCAGGCGAAGTCCTGTCTACTGAAGCTGACGCAAACAGCAATCAATGGGCATGGGCTCTGCTGGCACACGGGGGTGCAACGCGCAAGCCGGGGCAAACCGATCTAGTTGATGCTTCAGTCATGGTTACCATGGCTGCATGCTCTGATCCAAGCAGGTTGACCTATCTCGGTTGATGTTTCATGGGTTAAAATCCCGTACCCCCAATGCCCACTAAAATAGGTTCTAAAATGGGTGGTGCACCTACCCCAAAATGGTACCATTGGCTTTGACCCACAGCCATGTGATTTTACAACTATCTGGTGAAGAGTTTAAAACAGCTTTGTAGAGGATGCACGCCCAGCCGTGTCAAATTGGACTCTGCAATTTTGCTATCACCAGTACCTTTGGTGGCAACACACACACACACACACGGCGACTCCAGGTTTCTCTTTGGCACCGAAATTCCCGAAATTCCCGAAATTCCCCACAGCCTTTCTGAGACCAAGTACAGGAGTTGAAAACGGGCAAGCCAAAGACTTGGGTTCCAGAGACGCTGGCCACAAGGAGACAGAACTGTCCAGCACTAGAACAATGGCATGCTCAGATTTCACACACCTAATTCAAAGGTACGCTTGGCAGACGTATCGAGCCCATTTTCCCAATTCCCCCGCCTTTAACAGCTTTTCCGTTTCGGGCTTCCCTCGGGCCCTCTTCTGGCAGGGCCTGTGCCCATTCTCATCCCAACCGCCCGCCTCCACCAGGGCGTACTGATCCCTCGCGCCCATGCGCAAAATCGTCCCCACGAACTCATCGTTCGGCACAGCTTTCCTGGTCCCCCCGGGCCCGAGGCCCCCGGAGTCCCGGAATCGAATGCGCCCTTGTGGTCTTGTCTATGCGTTTGTGTTGTAATTCTTCTTCTTTCATATGTTTTCTTGTTGCCTTTACTTTGTTCATACAGTTTCCTTATTGGTTGTCTATATTACTTTGTTCATATTAACTAGGTTGGGATTATTGCTTTGTTCGTATTAGTTAGACGTTGTTCTATTTATTTCGGAAATATGTGTTTATTGGTTGATTTGACTGTCCTGGACGCATCTCTAGAGGTTACCTGTCCAAAAAGAACCTGGACATTCTTTCCCAACCCATATGGCGCATGGACACGCTTTGGTAGAACAGAAAGGTAAACTGTGTGAGGGTAGCTGCCATCATAGCCAATGCCCCTCTCGCCTCCATCGAGTCTGCGGCTAATCCCAACTGCCACAAAAAACATGCCCAAGCAAAGAAACAAACAAACAATCAATCAATCAAACAAACAAACAAACAAACAAACAGCCAGACAGACAAACAAAACAAAACAAAACAAAGAAAATACACAAAAACAGCCAGACAGACAGACGGACGGACAAACAAGCAGCCGGACAGACAAACGGACAAAACCACACAAACAAACAGAATGGACGGACCGACCGACCGTCCAACCACCTAGTAGCAAAACGCCCCAATAGCAAAGCGGCGCGAAACCAAACAAGCAACTGGGCTGTCCAAACACATCCCCTGCTAAAAGTTGCCAACTTGTCGGTGAAATGGAAACCCCACCACTGAACCAACTAAAAACCCGGCAAAACCTCAATGGCTGGGAACCAAACAAGGGAACAGTGATTTGTGGAAGGGGTGTCTCACAGCGACAGGTTCGACGTTTCTGCAAATGCGCACTGACTTTGCAAATCAGTGCAAGCAGACCAGCTGTGACAGCCCTCTTTGGGAAGAATTCGCGCAACTCCCACCGGATCTTTATATCGGGTTCGGTGAGCCTTCCGCATATGGTGTGCCCTCCCCCCCCCACAAAGTGTGCCCCCCTCCCCACCACAAAATAATAATATGGGCAAATTCCTACTGTGGATGGACCAAATCCTGCACCTAAGAATCCCTGGCATGATTCGATTCCCTTGTAAAAACCAACCAACCCATGGTTTCAACCCTGGTTTCCAAGTGGTGCGAAATGGATTTCGTCCACCCACAGTATGGCAGGAGCAAAAAAGGGGGCGGACCCCGTTTCCAGAGGCCTTGTCCGAGATCCGTGAGTTAGGTTGATGTGTCCAGACAAGTTCGGGGGGGGTATTGCGCTGTTTCAAGGTTTTGGCATGTTGACGCTTGCGCTCCCCCTTTGCCAATATTCCAAAGTTGAAGCTCCGAGTTGCCTCTTAGGGCCCTTCTCGGCTTGGCCACCGTTGGACAACTGACTGTGTCGCAACGCAGAGATCCCCCCAACTGTTTCATTTCATGGCTCACTTCACACCAGGCTTGCCACAGCCAAGAGATGCCATTTCGGAGCACTCTTTGGGGCAATTTCTTAGGGTTCCCATCTCCAAACGCCGCCGAGCGAGACGAAACCTTTCGCCTGCTGAAGTCCAGGAGCCGCTGCACTGCCTCCCCGCCACAGGGGCCCAGGCCCCATCAAAATGAAAGTGTGGAAATCAGGGAACTTGTGCAGGTCATGTTTATATATATATATGCTATGTATATATATATATGTATGGTACAGCCCCCCAACCCTCAATAGGGGGCTGGGTGGGTGGGGAGGGGTGGAGGAGGGCGGAGGACGGGACCATAAATATAAATATATATATATATATATACATATATATATATATAGACATGTATTATATAGGTACAGTATGCAAGTTTGTCCCTCTGCTAGAAATATGGCAGCCCCCTTTATCGCCCGCCCTTCCCTCTTGGAAAGCTATGGCCAAGGCGAAAAGTTTTCTTGTGACGCTTTTGGTTGCCACGTTGCCAGCCAGTGCTTCCGATTTCGCACACTTCCGCGACTTCACGGCGACTGCAGGCTGGGCTTCGGCCTTCAGAGATGTCTTCACGCAAAGGCTCCAAGACTTGAAGGCTCAAGCTTCACAGTCTCAGGAAATGAGAAATGGTAACCCCGTGTTCCCTTTCAGAGAATCACCAAAACCGGTTCATTCCCCCTGGGGCAAGATGATGGATCCCAAGACGTGTCTTGTGGCTTAGGGCCAACATAGGTATGTCTGGACATAGGATTCTCTAAGCTGGTGTCCACTACCCCGGAGGGAAAAGTGCAGATGTAATCTTGTACAGTGGCCATATAAGGCTTGCTTACTCCATTTTGCCTTGAAGGTAGTGGTTTGGGGGCACTTAGAGATTCGTCCTTTACTCCACACGTGAACTATGTCTGGCTATCACCATCACGAGAATCCACTGGCCAAATTCCTGGTTCAAATGGCCGGCTACGATACGTGCCGAGTCTACGCAAATGTCAAGCCATCCACATTGCATGACATTAATCGAGAGCCGTAACCTCACTGACCCACATCTCCGTCCCGTGTGTTGCCGCTTGACACGCTATTTTTTAAAGATCCAAGAGGATTTCTACAGCTCTAGTCCAACTTTAAAACATAGGTTCAACAAGGTTTTTCTGCTGCTACAGGCATCTTTAAACTATATGTTCTCAAAGGAAACTGCAGCTACAGCATCCCCTGGAATCGCCTCGAGCTCTCAGCTGCCGCCCAAAACCTCCCCCCCCGTAGCCCCAAAGTGGGAACCCGAGCCTCCTGAAAGTTGGAGGGATGAACGATGCGGTCCAACAGCTGCAACCTGGTGCTCTCCCACTCCCCCGCCCTTCCTCCGGCCAAAGGTGTCACTTGACATCGCTCAAGCTGAGGCCAGTATCCACACAACCACTTGCCACAGTGGAGTCTGTGTGGGTTTTGGAGTCTGATTTCAAAGATTCACACATTGAGTCATGATCAAAACCGATCGGTATTATAGTGGTGTACCCAAACAGATGTAAAGAACTCCAAACGCGGCCGCACCTATATATGGTCGGGACTATCCCTTACTACCCTTCATTGAGCAAGTGGCTCAGGTGAAAAGTTCCATTTGGCTCCTTGGAGGTCGAAGGGGCCCCAAGATCCCAAAGACCTTATCACGAGCTCACGCCCCTTTCCATGGCGAAAGCAGTCGATCAAAAACCCAAGCGACCAAGCATCACGACCATCGGCAGGTTCGCCGATCGAAGGTTGAGGATACTTTTTCAAGCGCGCTTGGGAGTATTCAAAGACGACACAGGGTTGCTCCCTCGGTTTGCCCAGAGACAACCATGAGCTTGAATTGCCCCACAGCGGCCCGAATACTTGATCTGCACATTTTACTTTTGAGAGGATGAGCAGTCCGGGTAGAAGCTAAGCCGCAGCCACTCAGCCACTCAGCCACTCGGAGTGGCTGCCCCCCAGCCACTTTGCCACGACCCCAGCTGCGGGGGCCACTGAGCCACTTGGAGTGCCTGAGTGTCTGAGTGGCTGGGTCAGAGTGGCTAAGTGGCTGAGTGGCTAAGTGGCTGAGTGGCTGAGTGGTTGAGTGAGTGGGAATCAGCATGGCTGAGTGACGGAGTCTGAGCAACTGGGGGCTTGGAGCGATGGAGTCGCTGAGCGGCTGAGGGGTCGGGGGCAGGGGAGTGTCTAAGTGGTTGACTGGATGTTCTCATATAGTTTACTTCCTCCTTACCTTACCCTGAACTTGGAAAAATATAGTTTCACTCAGGGGTACTAGAAGTGCTAGCAAATTCATCTACGTTAAACACGTGTTAACATCGAAGGGTCCATTCTATGACAGCAGATCCCCGAGCCACCACATGTGGCCCAACACGAAGATCGGCTTGCTTTGCCGCGGTTAGGATAGAGGATGTACTTACGGAGGGCTTGTGTTATTTAGTTAAGTGGGCATCTGCTTCGAATTCAAAGGCAGACTCATCCATGGCAAGCATGTCAGCCCAAGAGACAAAGACCACGTGCGGCAGGAAACAAATGCTTTCGTCAGGATACACCTCACTTCACTTGACAGAATGGTATGGCGAACAAACTCGAGAGGTAGGCCATTGTGTTCATTAAAAAAAAAAAGCATAGTTGGAGCGACCGTCTCTCTAGAGATCTTTCTTTGAAGGTGAAACAGGGGGCTTTCATACCGAGGCTTTTCTTGTGCTAGACAACGTGCTCCGCAGGTGAGAATCGCACGACCGCACAAATTTAAGAATTTAAAAAAGACGGTAACTTTTGAAGATCTCAGCCTTGACAACCTGGGTTCCTAACAAGAGTTCCAATATTAAGCTGCATTTTACCTTGCTTCCCTGAACTTGGAAAAAGACACTCTTACAAAGTGTCTCTTTTACTTGCAAAATCGAGAAGAAAAAAAAGCGTGACGCTGTCTTGAAAACCAAGCTAAGACATCAACTACTAAAGTGCATCGTCTTGTCACTCAGCCACTCAGTCACTCTGACCCGCCACTCAACACACCAGCGACTCAGCCCCTTCAGCCACTCAGCCGCTCTCAGCCACTCCTCAGATTCCCAGCCAAGCAGCCACCACTCTGATCCCCAGCCACTCATCCACTCAGCCACTCTGACTTCTCTGATTTCTAGGTACTTTGAGACTGCCAGTCACTCAACTGACTCCTCACTCAGCCACTCTGTCCCCTGGCCACAGCCACCCTGACACAGCCACCAATGCGCGTCCAATCTATAATGAATTGAGAATTGGATCCCCAAGTACAGGACCTTATCATGGCTTTCGCTCGTTGTACCCCCGGGTGAGCTCGCCTTAAAATGGGCAGCCTTGATTGCCAGGCCCATTTCACGGCATGGGCTACTCCTGAGAGGAGCGATCCCTCCGAGACTTTCTGCCCCGACTCAGTGAGCGGCGCTATCCGGCGGGCGGTGACGTCAGGCTCCTCCGAATGGGCGGTGAAACCCCCCAGTTACCAGCACTAAGTGGCTTCATGTCATATGTCATGGAACGCTCCTCCGAATGTTGAGAGAGAGAGAACCACGCCGTTGTTGTTTTTTTAGCGTGATGCACAGTTCCATTTCTTGGATGCTTTTCTTGGATGAAAAGCGTGGCTGACTCACAGAGTCACTGATTCGTCTTCTTAGATGACTGCATCACAGACGACTCAAACCTTGCTGTGGTTCCAGGGCTTCAAGGTCCGTCACACGTGTACCCCGAATGTGTGGTGAACCAGCACAAGCGCCAGAGGGCTTCGTAGACGCGCAAAAACTGGGGATGCCTGAGTACAATTCTGGAAATCCTGAGTTGTCCACGTGTATGTCCGAGAAAAGACAAACTGTCATAGGTGCCCATTTGGTAAAATAGATGGCCCTGGTAAATGAAATAAAACGGAGCTAAACCAACGCCATCGGTTTCTAATGAAACTAACCTAAAAAGGACACCCATGCAAACTGTGCCCAGGCCAGCAAGAAAGGGTCTTGTGAAGGGTTTTGTTTGCGGTCTTCCATCCTGCATTGGAGGCTCGGTTTTGTACACCGGACCCAAACAAAGTAGTTTGATGAAGTCTGATGCTGTCTTGCTTTGATTCTTCGCAAGCGCGAGACACGCAAAGAGCCACACAAACACGCACAGAACAATCACACACACACACCAGCAAAACAAACAATAGACACACAAGCAAGCCAGCCAGCAAGCAAGCAAGCAAGCAAACAAACAAATAAACAAGCAAACAAACAAACAAACAAACAAACAAAGAAACAAACAAACAAACAAACAAACAAACAAACAAACCAACAAACAAACAAACAAACAAACAAACAAACAAACAAACAAAACAAACAAAACAAACAAAGAAACAAACAAACAACACACGCATGCAGCACCCAAACTTGCATGCACACACGGATGCAAACAACCGACACACAGACACACAAACACACGGACACTTAGACACAGAGACACACACACAGACACACAGACACACAGACACACAGACGCACAGACGCACAGACGCATAGACGCACAGACACACAGACGTACACACATAGTAAACACACACACACACACACGCACACACACACACACACACACACGTTCACGCACGTGAACACGCACACGCGCACGCGCACACGCACGCGCACTCACACGCACACGCACACGCACACCCACACCCACACCCACGCCCACGCCCACACCCACGCACGGCACGGCACGGCACGGCACGGCACGGCACGGCACGGCACGGCACGGCACGGCACGGCACGGCACACACAAACACATATGCAAAACAAACCAAAACACAACAATGCAACGACCACGAATGGCAGAATCTTCTAAGGGTGTCACTTAGGTTTCACAAATTTCCGCACGACGCATTCCTTGGACGGGCGATCTCCCCGTGATGATCTTTCAGCACGCAGCGCAGCAAGACAAGCGCTCCTCGATGCAGGTGAGCACCTTCTCGTGGAGCTCGGCCACGGGAACCTTGTCCTGGAAGCAATGGCAATCCGTTTCTGTGGAAAAGAAGAAAACAGCAAACTTCAGCTTCCCCCTTAACTTCTAGGTCCTCCAGTAGGGAGGACAGAATAAGGGTACCAACTTTTGTTCTGTCTATTTTAGTAGGGGAGCCCTCCCAACCAAACAAGGGGTGAGAGGTCGGGCACCTAGCTGGGGGACCTAGACTTGGTTTGGTGGAGAGGTTCAGTGGTTGGGGTGAAACATTCTCCCCGAAGAACCGGGGCTGGAACATCGAAACTCGGGCTCAACAGCACCAGGGGGTGATATGGGGGGTTTTTCAAACTGGCGGATCAAAGGAAGCCAAAAAGGAAACCGACCGTTCTAGGCACGTCAACTACCCTCCTGCTGACATGGAACCCGACGTTTCGGGGTCCTGGAAGACGATGTCCTTTTCAACAGACCCTGTTGGGTTCCATATGTTTGGGCAGGAGGGTAACCTCCTTCCGACCAAAGGATTCGGCGCGGACCGCAAAGCCTCCAGAGGCACCGGGCCTTGAACTTCTCGATGACTTCCCGGAAGAGGTCCAAACCCAAGTACCTGGCATTGAGGGATTCGCCGTTTCCGTGGAGAAAACCACAAAGCTGCTTGGGTGTCCCTCCGGGTTTCCTTCTGGGTTGTCTTCAGGGTTGCCTGCTGGGTTGGCTTCTGGGTTGCCTTCTGGGCTGGAGTTCCTTCTGGTTTTCCGTGAGCCAGTGAAAGTGGTGCTCAATCGTCGGGCGTGCCCTGTCAGCTTTGATGCCTTGCATGCCAAACCGCAACTGCTTGCTTTGATGTCTGGGCACAGAGTCTGATCCATCCATGATGGCAAACTCGGGCCAAGTAGCCATCACTTAGGTCCTAAGCATGCTGGCATCTTTCCGTTCATGTCAGAAACAAGTGTTATGAGTTGACACCTTGCCAATCATGTCAAGCAGCAATTGGCACAAGGTCATGATGAAATCTGACGTCAAGGATGCCACAAGCCAAAAAAAAGTATCCAATTGGGTAACGTTGCAACCTTCTATCCAGATCCTTCCATTTGCTGAATCCCCCCGGAAATAATACAAATATTTCCAGTAGTGATAGTTTCCCTTGAAAACCAACAAGGGGAAAATAACAAACATATTCAAATAGAAGAAACTTGCCCCACAATTCACCAACAATCTCTCAGTGCAGCTTCGCCTGGGCTTGACCGCCACTAGCCGAAATGTATTCTTAAGCAAATGGATGGATCTTGATGCTGGCTCCCCATCTCGAAGCGAAGGGACGCCCATCCAGCAGCGTTTGCTCAGGCGAACCGGGAAGCCACGGCAGTCGATTGGCACCCGCTGCAACCTTCCCTTCTTCCATTTGCTGAGAAGTCCCATGGAAAAAAAACACATATTTCCAGTAGTGATACATTCCCTTCAACACCAACAAGGGAGAAAAACATATTCTTACGCAAATGGAAGCCTTGAAGGAAGTTGTGTTGTTCTCATTTTGAGACAACGTGGTGGTGCTTAAAGCTAAAGTGACGGCCGTTGCACCATTTTGGGAGGTCCGACCGTAAGAAAGACGAGCCACCCATCTAGAACCCTGCCTTCAAGATCAACCCCCCTGAGACTGATTGCTGGCCTCAAGTTCCGGTCCGAGGAATTCAAGAAGGCCTCAGCCACTCGGCAGGCTTTGCGCGTTGCAAGGCGTTGCTCTCCCACGGCCCCGTTTTGGTTCGTTGAAGGCCAGGTCTACCGAATTTCGGACGGATAACCAAGCTGCAGACACGGCGTTCAAAACTAGACACGCAGAGCCGCTCTCATGTGGCTGAAAGTCATGGACAAAGCGCGCAAAGACGGTGTTCAGGGAGAACATCTACAGCCATCTGTCCAAAATATCTAGCGACCGCCACCAACGCTCTCCGAAACCTTTTGAATAGTCTGCCAACAGGCTCCGTGCCCCGCCCTTCTCTTGGGCCATCTGCGGAAATAAGGTCGGGTGCCTGGTCCCCCGAAATTCCCCTGTTGTCTTGTGTGTCTCCAGCGATTTGTCAAGAGTGCAACCTGTTGTTTTGATAGCTCTGCTTGAGTGAGACCTGAACCGACTGCGGTTGTGGCATGAGGATGAGAATTTCGAGAAGGGAACCGGGCCAACATGAGTCGCTATACTCACAAAGCAAGAGGCACAATCCACTGGACCCTCAATCTTCATCTAACCGGATCTTGATTCTGGCTCAGCTGATCTTCAAAAGCTGCAAAATGTACTGGCGGCTTCCCCTCACATTGAAACTTTTGGAGGTTCCAACACGGGAAACCGCTCGGAAACCCCACCTTTTGTCGTACGTTGATGTAATGTTAACCCCATACTATGAATCAACTTCAATTTAATGCGGGGGCTCCCTGGGTTTAGCGGGGAATCAGACCACTTTTGGAGGGGCCCCCATGCCTCCCCCCCCCGCCCATTGAAATAAACAGGGGTTGATGAAAATAGGGGGTCAACATTAACCCTTCATTGGTGGTTTGGATTGGTGATTTGAGATTTGACTCCCAGTTCCTTTTGAAACCAAATGGGGAAGGTGGTGGCGGGCCCAGAAGCAGCCGGCACCCGACGTGATCCTGAGACGCAGGGCCTGGAGCTTTTCGATGGCCAGCGCCACAATGGCCGTGCCTGCGGGTTGCGCGCGCGCAAGCGCGCAAGCGGCGTAGACCGGCATGGCTGGAGGCATGGCCGAAGTTTCCCGCAATGTTGGGGGAGGTCTTTCTTGGGTGCCCTTTTGGGATTGGTTCAAAAGGGAAACCAAAAGGAAACTCGCCATTTTCGGGGTCTTCTGTCGAGACACACGCCCGCAAAGCATGGCGTTTGTAGGAAGCTACTCGAAACATACCCGACTTCCAGCGGCACACTTGGTGGTTCCCCTCTTGGAAAGTCTCACAAACCAATTCAAGCCAAGCACGCGTGCCGACGACAAAGGCATGGACGTTCTGACAACCATCAGAAAAAACCATATTACCCTCCAACAAACAGAAGGCACCTGTGGGAGGGTATCTGGAAGGTGAATTTCTTTCTCAAGGGACCCTCTGTGAGGTGCCATGTTAGTGGAAGGGAGGGCAATGTGGATTAACAAACCCTTGTTTATTAATATGGGGGTGTTCCCTCCAAAAGTGAGAAATAAATCCCCACTAAAACCAGAAAAAACACCCGCAAATATATTTTTTAACAGGGGTTGATCAATCCGGGGTCAACAACATTACAGGGCGACCCCCAAAATCCACTCCGACATCCCACGGCTCGCTTCTATCGGGACCGCGGCCCGACCTTCGGGCATGGATCGCACCACGCATCGGATGGCTTCAAACTCCACGCTCTGCGCCTCACCAGCCAGCCCTCCCCTCGAAAAGTGACCGCTATATGACAAAGATGCCCAGCGGCCATGGGAAAAAAGGCCATCCTTTTTTAGTTGGTTAACTTCAAAGGCGAACCCTTCTCACAAAAAAGGAAAAAGGGCACCACTGGGCAACTGGGATGAGAACAGGAGATACCGTCACATCATCACATTGAAGAAACAAACCATGGGAACTGGCCATGAGACCGATAAGGGTGCTGGGGAACCGTAATTGCAGGGATTTCTGTTGATGCCACAAGGCGACAGATCGAAGAACTGCACCCAGATCGATCTTCCGAAAAGGACATTTCGTCATGACGCTCAAAGTGGATCCGTACCTGCCGATAAAGCAGACAGAAATGGCACAAGCGTTTCACTTGGCTTGGCCCATTGTTGGCTGGTCTGGCTATCTTACCTACGGTTGAAAGCTGAATATGGCTGTTTCTCACTCCCACAAATGCAAGGGAGCAGTGCTGTGTATGTATATATACATATATATATATATATATATAAAAATACTAAATCCGCCGACAACAGACGGCGTGTTGGACACAAAAAATGCTCCTTACCTCTTTACCTCTTACCCCTCCCCTTTCCCCTTTTCGAAGACGCTTCACTAAATCTGTTCATTGTGCGCAACTCAGTTTGTCAAAAACATTGGGGTGTTCGATTCCCCCCGGGTGCGCTTTCGCATCCTTAGCAGCTCCAGCGGCACATCGCCAGCATCACCTGCATCATCCGCATCAGCGCCTGCCAAGGATGCGGATGATGCAAGTGATGCTGGGGATGTTGCCCATGCTGGTGAAGGAAATGAAGGGGGGAAAGGGGGAAAGAATCTCAACAGCGAAAGGGGGGGAAAGATATCAGGGAGGAAAGGGAGAAGATCTGGAAAAAAAATGCCTTAAGGGGGAAAGGGGGGAAAAGATCTTTGGGAGGAAAAGGGAAATCTTTCTTGGGGGGGAACAGGCCCTAAGGGGCAATGGGGGGACAGGATCTCAAACGGGAAAGGGGGAAAAAGACTTTGGGAAGAGAAGGGTGGAGATCTTGGGGGGAAAAGGCCTTAGGGGGGAAACGGGGGAAAGGATCTTAAGCGGGAAAGGGGGGAAAAGATCTAAAATCAGGGTGCGAAAAGGCCTTCGGGGGGACGGGGAAAGGATCTCAATAAAGAAAGGTGGGAAAAGCTCTTCGGGAGGAAAAGGAGAAGATCTCAGAAGGGAAAGGCCTTAGGGGGGAAAGGGGGGAAAGGATCTCAACAGGGAATGGCGGGAAAACATCTTAGGGAGGAAAAAGCAGGAAAAGCAATATGATCTCGGGGGGGGAAAAGGCCTTGGGGGGGAAGGGGGGGAAAGGATCGAAAAGCGAGCAGATCTCAGGGGGGGGAAAGGCCTTAAGATCTCAGGGGGGGAAAGGCCTTAGGGGGGAAAGGGCGAAAGGATCTCAACACGGAAAGGGGGCAAAGGATCTTAGGGAGGAAAAGGGAGAAGATCTGAAAAGGCCTTAGGGGGAAAGGGGGGAAAGGAGCTCAACAGGGAAAGGTGGGAGAAGATCCTAGGGAGGAAAAGGGAGAAGATCTCGGGGGGAAAGGGGGAAAGGATCTCAACCGGGGGAAAAGATCTTGGGGAGGCAAAGAGAGCGGAAAGGATCTCAACAGGGAAAGGGGGCAAAGGATCTTAGGGAGGAAAAGGGAGAAGATCTTGGGGGGGAAAACGCCTTAGGGGGGAAAGGGGGGGAAAGGATCTCAACAAGGAAAGGGGGGAGAAAACAGGGCCTTAGGGGGGAAAGGGGGGAAAGGCTCTCAACAGGGAAAGGTGGCAAAAGATCTTAGGGGAGGAAAAGGGAGAAGATCTCAAGGGAAAAGGACTTAGGGAGGAAAGGGGGGGAAAGATCTTTGGGAGGAAAAGGGAGAAGAACTGAGGGTGGGAAAAGGCCTTAGAAGGAAAAGGGGGGAAATAAATGATCTCAACAGGGAACTGGGGGGGGGAAAGATCTTAGGGAGGAAAGGCAGAAGATCTGGGGCAAAAAGGCCTTAGGGGGGAAAGGGGAGAAATGATCTCAACAGGGAAAGGGGTGGAAAAGATCTTAGGGAGGAAAGGGAGAAGATCTGGGGAAAAAAGGCCAACAGGGAAAGGGGGGAAAAGATCTTCAGGGGGGGAAAGGATCTCAACAGGGAAAGGGTGGGAAAGATCTTAGGGAGGAAAGGGGGGGGGAAGATCTTAGGGAGGAAAGGGAGAAGATCTGGGAGAAAAGGACTTAGGGGGGAAAGCCCAACAGGGAAAGGGGGGAAAAGATTTAGGAAGGAAAAGGGAGAAGCTCTCAGGGGGGGGAAAGGCCTTAGGGGGGAAAGGGGGAAAAGGATCTCAGCAGGGAAAGGGGGGGGGGAAGATCTTAGGGAGGAAAGGGAGAAGATCTGGGGACAAAGGCCTTAGGGGGGAAAGGGGAGAAATGATCTCAACAGGGAAAGGGGTGGAAAAGATCTTAGGGAGGAAAGGGAGAAGATCTGGGGGAAGAAAAGCCAACAGGGAAAGGGGGGAAAGATCTAAGGAAGGTAGGCGGGAAAGCGTGGGAAGGATCTCAACCGGGAAAGGGGGGAAACAATCTTAGGAAGGAAAAGGGAGAAGATCTGGAAAGGCCTTAAAGGGAAGGGGGGAAAGGATCTGAACGGGGAAAGGGGGCAAAGGATCTTAAGGAGGAATAGGGAGAAGATCTCAGCGGGGGGAAAGGCCTTAGGAAGGAAAGGAGGGAAAGGATCTCAACAGGGAAAGGGGGGGGAAAGATCTCAGTGAGGAAAGGGAAAAGATCCAGGCAGGGAAAAGGCCTTAGGGGGGAAAGGGGGAAAGGATCTCAACAGGGAAAGAGGGCAAAGGATCTTAGGGAGGAAAAGGGAGAAGATCTGAAAAGGCCTTAGGGGGAAAGGGGGGAAAGGAGCTCAACAGGGAAAGGTGGGAGAAGATCCTAGGGAGGAAAAGGGGGAAGATCTCGGGGGGGAAAGGGGGAAAGGATCTCAACCGGGGGAAAAGATCTTGGGGAGGCAAAGGGAGAAGGCCTTAGGGGGAAAGGGCGGAAAGGATCTCAACAGGGAAAGGGGGGCAAAGGATCTTAGGGAGGAAAAGGGAGAAGATCTTGGGGGGGAAACCGCCTTAGGGGGGAAAGGGGGGGAAAGGATCTCAACAAGGAAAGGTGGGAAAAGATCTTAGGAAGGAAAAGGGGGAAGATCGCGGGGGGAAAAAAGGCCTTAGGGGGGAAAGGAGGGAAAGGGGAAAAACTCAGAGGGAGAAAGGGCCTTAGGGGGGAAAGGGGGAATGGATCTCAACGGGGAAAGGTGGCAAAAGATCTTAGGGCAGGAAAAGGGAGAAGATCTCAGGGGGGGAAAGGCCTTAGGGGGGAAAGGGGGGAAAGGATCTGAGCAGGGAAAGGGGGGGAAAGATCTTAGGGAGGAAAGGGAGAAGATCTGGGGGCAAAGGCCTTAGGGGGGAAAGGGGAGAAATGATCTCAACAGGGAAAGGGGTGGAAAAGATCTTAGGGAGGAAAGGGAGAAGATCTGGGAGAAAAAAGGCCAACAGGGAAAGGGGGGAAAGATCTAAGGAAGGAAAAGGGAGAAGCTCTCAGGGGGGGAAAGGCCTGAGGGGGGAAAGGGTGGGAAGGATCTCAACAGGGAATGGGGGGAAACAATCTTAGGAAAGGGGGGGGGGGGGGAAGATCTTAGGGAGGAAAGGGAGAAGATCTGGGAGAAAAGGACTTAGGGGGGAAAGCCCAACAGGGAAAGGGGGGGAAAGATCTTAGGAAGGAAAAGGGAGAAGCTCTCAGGGGGGGCAAAGGCCTTGGGAGGGAAAGGGAGGAAAGGATCTCAACAGGGGAAAGGGTGGGAAAGATGTTAGGGAGGAAAGGGGGGGGGGAAGATCTTAGGGAGGAAAGGGAGAAGATCTGGGAGAAAAGGACTTAGGGGGGAAAGCCCAACAGGGAAAGGGGGGAAAGATCTTAGGGAGGAAAGGGAGAAGATCTGGGGGCAAAGGCCTTAGGGGGGAAAGGGGAGAAATGATCTCAACAGGGAAAGGAGTGGAAAAGATCTTAGGGAGGCAAGGGAGAAGATCTGGGAGAAAAAAGGCCAACAGGGAAAGGGGGGAAAGATCTAAGGAAGGAAAGGGAGAAGCTCTCAGGGGGGGAAAGGCCTGAGGGGGGAAAGGGTGGGAAGGATCTCAACAGGGAAAGGGGGGAAACAATCTTAGGAAGGAAAGGGGGGGGGGGGAAGATCTTAGGGAGGAAAGGGAGAAGATCTGGGAGAAAAGGACTTAGGGGGGAAAGCCCAACAGGGAAAGGGGGGAAAAGATCTTAGGAAGGAAAAGGGAGAAGCTCTCAGGGGGGGCAAAGGCCTTGGGAGGGAAAGGGGGGAAAGGATCTCAACAGGGGAAAGGGTGGGAAAGATGTTAGGGAGGAAAGGGGGGGGAAGATCTTAGGGAGGAAAGGGAGAAGATCTGGGAGAAAAGGACTTAGGGGGGAAAGCCCAACAGGGAAAGGGGGGAAAAGATCTTAGGAAGGAAAAGGGAGAAGCTCCCAGGGGGGGGGGAAAGGCCTTAGGGGGGAAAGGGGGAAAAGGATCTCAACAGGGAAAGGGGTGGAAAAGATCTTAGGGAGGAAAGGGAGAAGATTTGGGGGAAAAAAGGCCAACAGGGGGAAAGGGGGGAAAGATCTAAGGAAGGAAAAGGGAGAAGCTCTCAGGGGGGGAAAGGCCTTAGGCGGGAAAGGGTGGGAAGGATCTCAACAGGGAAAGGGGGGAAACAATCTTAGGAAGGAAAAGGGAGAAGATCTGGAAAGGCCTTAAAGGGAAGGGGGGAAAGGATCTCAACAGGGAAAGGGGGCAAAGGATCTTAAGGAGGAACAGGGAGAAGATCTCAGCGGGGGGAAAGGCCGTAGGGGGGAAAGGGGGGAAAGGATCTCAACAGGGAGAGGGGGGGAAAGATCTCAGGGAGGAAAGGGAAAAGATCCCAGGGATAAAAGGCCGTAGGGGGGAAAGTGGGGGAAAGGGAGGAAAAGGGAGAAGATCTCAGGGGGGAAAAGGCCTTAGGGGGGAAAGGGGGGAAAGGATCTCAACAGGGAGAGGGGGGAAAACATCTTAGGGAGGACAAGGGACAAATCAGAGGAAGACAAGGCCTTAGGGCGGAAAGGGGGAATGGATCTCAACAAAGAAAGGGGGGCAACAATCTCAGAGGGGAAGGGGGCAAGGGGACAATTCCAAAGGGACGCAAATAAGAAAGCAGGCCTGTAATGTCGGCGGCCTGAGCCGGAGGCGTTAAAATATACATATGATTGTATATATATATATATAAATACACACACCTTATGCAAAGCCCAAGCAGTTAAAACCTCACCACACAGACTCACACACACACACACACACAGCAACACGACACAACACAACGATGAACACTGTACAAACCATAAACTACGCATCCATCCTATCACAAGAAGAACCGCTCTGGCGGCTCTTTTTTTCCGGTTGGGTCCTGAAAAGCTTGAATTCACCCAGTAGGTCCCCACGGGAAATACCGTGGATGCACGAAATCCTCTTAGGCACCACCCAAGAAACCCTGGAAGGATTCGATTCCCCGGTAAATAGCAACAACCCATGGCTTCAACCACGGTTTCAAAGTGGTGCGAAATAGATTTCGTACATCCACACGCATCGAAGCCCGAAGCTAGTGAAACACGCCCTAATTTTCTTGCCAAAAAGTGAAAGGTCTAAAGATCCGTTGCCCAATATCCCAACATAAGAACCCCAAATTCAAAGTAGGTTCCCGAAGGGAAATTCGGAGAACTCGCATCGAAGGGCTGGGACTCGAAAGCGGAGGCCGGCCTTGGTGGTGTTCAAGATGTTCGTCAGCGGCTCCACCAGCTTCGGCGGCAGCCGGGGCTCCAGGGGCGACAGCAGCTGGAAGACCTGCCAAGCTTTAAGTCACTCCCGCGAGTCACTCCCGCGACGCAGGAAGGACAGCATCTAAGGGATGTTTGCAAAGAAAAAGTGGGGAAAGGGCACTACTGGGGGGACCTAGGATGGGTGTGGTGATCAAAAAGAGGGTAGCCCTAACATGGCCTCGCCTTCGACTGAACTTTGCGAGAACCAGAGGGGCCTTTGGGACCAAATGCTTTGTTGGTACGTTTGCTTCTTGCATGAAGGTGGCACAGGTTGGCAAACCAACATGAGAAAGCCCGATCTTTGGCAAGGCTCCGTGAAGTCTGCGTCAATCAACCCTCTGCGGGTTCCCAAAACAAGCACAAGCACCCCTAGACAAACCAAGCTGAAAGTGCCAATGTGTTCCAGCGGGAGCACAACAAATATAAGGAAAAGAACTGAATAACCCAAATGAAAGGGCCAAATGTCTGTATTACGTTACTGTCTGTTCATTCATGAGCAAGCCCAAGCGTGGCAGACTGTACACTGCAACCAAGCAAACTGAAGTAAAACAACAGGTTTGGTTGATCACTTAGGTGTAATTAAAGAGCACCGGAGAAGTGCAAGAAGGGCTTGGAGACTTGCTGGAAAAGGGCATCCGGGTGGAATGTCAAAGGTCAAAGGCGGTGTTGCAGACAGCACTCGCAAGAAATGTCTTTCCGAGATACGTCCGAACACTGCGGATTCCTTGTTGGTTTGCATTTGCATGGGTGTGTCCTTCTTTAGGAGACCCCCAAAATGGTACGTAGCTTTCCTTCCGGTTGCCCTTTCAAACCACAAAAAATAACATCGAGCCCATGTAAAGAGAAGCTCATGCGCGGTTTGTCCTGCTCTTTCGGCGGCATCAAGTTTCCCAAGGCCCGTTGGATTGGGGAAAAGGCCCGTCCACCAAAAGAGAGTTGAGAGAGAGAACAAACAAATGCAATGTTAGGTGTCATCTGAGTCATAGTCAAAACCGATCGCTCCCTGCACCATGTAAAGAATTAAAAAGGCGGCTGCACCTATTTATGGTTGGGATTGTCCCTTTCGAACCTTCATCTACCCGAATCGGTTTTGAGCACGTGGCTCTGCCTTTCGGCCTCGGTGCTGAGCTCAAACTGATCCAAGTGATGGGTTCACAAGAACACAGGCTGATAGTGATGGGTTCAAAAGAACACGGACGTGTTTTTGTAGACCCCTCGACATGGTTTGCCTTTTGGCTTTCCTGTAAAGGATACCCTTCTCTCCACTAGCCTGGAACCCTCCAGAGGTTCCATGTTAGTGGAGAGTGTACATGGCCAAACTACCAATGTCCGTCCAGAGCTGCCCCAAAGCATCAACCCCACTCAGAAGGCCCCTTTGGGTGTCTTTTTTGAAATCCAGCTTGTGGCTTGAAAGAAAATGCTTCATGAAGCAGCCCTCTTAGTGGGTTCACTCCTGTTGCATACTTCATGCAATACCAAGCCCGCTTCTCAGACCCATGGTTCCCCTCGCCAAAGGGACCTTGCGAAGGGAGAAGCATTCCATGCGCAAAGATACCGACGCGTCCGATCTGTGCCACTTTGAGCCTTCAGCAGCTTGATGGAAAGCCAGTTGTTGGTGGTGTTCACCTGGCACTGGCGCCAAAAAACAACTGCGAGCTGCTTGGTGAAGCAATGGGCTCGGGGAAAAATTAAGAAGTATCTGCCTCTTGTGGCCTCTGTCAAATAAAGCAAAACACCACATCGTGCAACAGGCGTGGAACCCCCTTTCACCTGTTCGGACTGCCCTTCTACGACGAGTTGATGGCTAGGAGTCAAAAAGCCAAGGGGTCTATTTGGTTTGAACCAGGAGTGGTCCACTCCTCGTACCACCACCAGAGTGAGACCAAGTAGACTAGCCGGCAGCAACCTTCGCAAACTCTTGTCAATGCTAGAGGATCGCTTCTACCTCCTCCATCTCGCTCCTGCCGTCTCTCGAGCTGGAACCATCCCATGCATTCGCTACCAAAGGATGAAGGTGGCCCGCCGGTTCGCTCGTCCCTGTCCACTCGCTTTCCTACGGTATCTTCGCCTGGAGGCGTAATCCCAAGACCAGGAAAAAAGAAAATGTGAAAGTTGGACGTTCCTTGACTGGCGGTTGAGCTCGGAGAATGATTCGCGAGTACACGGTCAACCTTTATCGGCCAGAGAGTGGACGAGGGAAGCATCTCTATCTCTTCGCTGACACTTCTGTCGTGCCTTCATCACTTGTTTGCACCCCCGCTAAAACTGAACAGAACTACCAAAACCCCAACACATGCCAATTGGCATGTAAAGCAAACTTGAAGGGCCAGTTGAATGCTTCGTTCGCCGGCTGGGAATCAAATGCCCACATCCAATCGGTCTAGCAGCCCGGAAAACTGCGCTGGGAGAGTCGATCTGCTTCCTGCAGAGAATCGGCAACGCAGTTGAACATCATCCTTGCCTAAATGAGAACAAGCATAAGATCGCATAGTCGCTTGGCTGATCCATTTCTTGCAAAGCTTGGCAGGTGCCAACTTGCCAAGAGCGAGCCGGCCTGAGATCAAACAAAAGCATTGGGCAGCCGCGCCAAGATGTGATGTAGCTGTGGGACGAGCGACAAGTAGTTCCTGGCACGCGCGCATGTTCATCTTCCAATTGCTGCATGTTATTTGGCGCTCAAAAACATGTACCAAAATGGCACCTTGGTAAATGGAACCAAAGACTAAAACCTGCGTAACCCTAGCTCAGAAATGTTGAGCCACACCCATTGCGCACCTGCGTCAGATCCCATCGTTGATCTCTGCCAAGCCAAAATTGGCCATTCAATCGAAAGCCTCGACAGCAAGCTATTTACCGTACTACCGTACAATTAAGGTCAGTAGCCAAACAGCCTGCAGCACGCTGCGTTTTGGGAAGTCGCAAAGCCCCACATGCTTCCTGCCAAAAGAATTTGGCATGGAAAGGCTTTTGGATTTATTTTGGTCACCCAACTCAACCTGGTGTCATACTCGGAGCCGCGCTTCGCTGCTGTGTAGGCGTGACCCATGAAAGCGCCAGGTCTGATGTTAAGATCTTACATTGTTCGATGCTCCTTTTGGGTGACGTGCGGAAGGCCTGATATGTCAACAGGACGGTCCAGTGAGGGGCTCTGCGGCGAGGGGCTTTGAGGAATATGATCTGCAAGTGTTTTTTCTTCACCCCAATCTCCCAACACTTGCATGGAAAATCATTCTCCCTCAAAGGGCATTTGAAGCTACTCCCTTTCTGGTCCTTCGCCGCGAAAGGGCCGTTCTCTTCAGTGCCAAGAGGGAAGCCTCCTCAAAGAAAGGAGTGTGATTTCCCCGGAGTTCAAAACGCCAATGCAGTGGGAACCGAATCTCAGGTCCGGTCGCCCGGGGATGTCCCGGGGTTGGAGTTTTTGTGTGTCCTGCGACGCCCAAATGAATAACCTCCTTTGGGTTGAGAGACACCCCGTGAAAACGCAGAAGACCCAAAGAAAACCCGGAACCCCCCCCCCCCGCCCCCCAAAAGAAAAAGAACAAGAAAAATCAGACAAGAAGACAAAGGAACATAGTTTGGGAAACCCCCTTTGAAGCTCCTGTGGATGTTATTCGCCTTGGCGAGAGAAAAGGACGTCGTCTTAGTCTGGGCGGCCGCGCCGAGCGTTCTTCCGTGCCAGCTCCAGGAAGGTGTTCACGGTGGCGGTCAGCACCCCCTGGACGCCCGGCTTTCGGCGTGGGTTGGGTTGGGGTGGGTTGGGGGGGGTGGGGGCGAAGTGGGGTGGGATGGGGTGGGGGTGGGGTGGGGTGGGTGGGTTGGATTCAGGTTGGGGTGGGTGAGACCAAGGCGATGCCTTTCAATCGGGATGACAACATAAGTTCGCACCCCTGAAGGAAGAAAGGCGGCACGAAATGAGTGGGCTTGACAGCCAGAAAGGATCTTGGCCCTCATTTCAAAGTCCCCAACTCAATTGCGCGTTTGGCCGACTGCTTTAAAAGGAGCTCTTGCATAAAGTCAGGGCGAAACAAAATCAGGCAAATGTTCAAAGCTCAGCTTGCCTTGCAACGTGTGTATGACGGCTTCCTCTTTGCCACTAGGACAGAAGGTATGTACCCCAAAGATTGCATGCTCTTCCCTTCTTCGGGTTTTGCGAAGAACTGCCACTTGCAGAGAGTCTGCTATGAAAACCAATAAGCTATGTCAAGTTGCCCTGAATTGGTGGTTTGGATCGGTGGTTTGGATTTGGATTTCAGCCCCTTCTTGTAGATGCTAGATGGGTTTCCCACCCACCCAACCACCGCCACCCCACCGAGCTCCAAACCCAATCACAGGGCGGCTGATTCTGTTTGTTTGTTCTGGGTATATCTATTTTTAAGGAACCCCCAAAATAGCTGCGGTTGTCCCTTTTGGTTTCCCTTTCAAACCCTCAAACAAAGGGGTGAGGTACCCCTCACCCTTCGCCGCTTCCGCCTGGTCCTCATCACGAAGCCGGTCCTGTCAAGTGGCCCCCTAGGGTCCTCTACCTGGAAGTGCTCGTGAAAGGAATTGGGTTCCCTGTAAACCAAGCCCAAGAAGGGTAATTCCCCCATTGAAAAACACACACCCACACACCAAAAGAGAGGTCCGACAAATGCACCGCTTAAGCGGAAACCGCAATGCTTGACAAAAAAAAAGACGTACTCGTTGTCACGAGCGAGCCACGACAGAGTACTATGGCTGAACAATGTAAGCCAGGAATACCAACCACCCATGTCAGTTACATTCTGGATGGTCAACCCCAGGTCACAAGAAGTTGTGTGGGAATCAAACCCTCAATTACCGGAAGAGCCATGGGAGAGAAGCGGCAGTGACGGCTGGGGTGTGTTTGAGGGAACCCCTCTAAACAAGGGGCCATTGAATATGGTGCTACCGAGCAACAGGGTTTCAGAATATCTATATGCTGCGCTGGGCTTGCGAGTGATCAGGGCAGACCAGGAGGGCGGAAGCACTGGCTTCATTCATCCTTGCTGCTTTTGCCCTCCTGCTTAACCAGTTGAGAGGCCTTGCAAATTATGCTGGATGTCTCTAAACTGGGTGGCAGCGAATACAAAAAGGAGGTCAACTGCAAAGGGTCAAATCTGGAAAATCTGGCAACATCTTCATCTTCGCTTACCGAAGCGATTTTCCAAACAGTGAGAAAAAACACAATCCTCCTGTACCGGCGAATTAAGAGCAGGTGCAGGCAGACCAGCAGAACGACCAAGAGAGGACGCCCAACCAGGTGAAAGACAAATTTGAAGATAATCAACATGATATGAAACAACCATCTCGAGGGTTCCCTATTTTTCTGCAACAGCTTTGACCCCTTCTCTCGCTGATTATCCTCCGATTTGCCCTCATGCAAGTTATACATAGTACTTTGCGATGCAGGGTTGTGTCTATGTCAACATAGACACCATGTTACAATAGGTTACCCGCTCACACTCACAAGTGAGTCACAATCAAAACCCGGTATTAAAATGATCTACCCAGAACCATGTAAAGAAATACAAAGGCGGCCGCCCCTATTTCTGGCTGGGACTGCCCCTTACTAACCTTCATCTACCCGGGTTTTGAGCAAGTGACTCAAGTAAACATAAACCATGCACATATCCCACCCTCTGCTGATCACTTCCATATTGCTGCTAAACCGCCGACCTTGCCAGTAGCCAGTCGTATTTCATCGCACTGTGGTAGCAGTGGTCGAGTGTCCAAATGTACATGACCCCTTACCAGCGCCTCGCTTCCTTTCGATTTCCCTCACACATCCAAAAAAGGTCCCCATGTAAAACATCCTCGATAGGCTTCCACTCAAGAGGCGCTCGCCGCAAAATTTGGGGACGCCTCCAACTGGTTGGCTTCTTTTGGTTTCGCAATGGAAGTCTTGCCAAGAAATGCCCGATTCTCGAAGCGCACTTTTCGCCGGCAACAGTGCACTGTGTGAAATGACGTGCCCGTCCTTGAGCTTGGGGAAGCAAGTGCGGAGGGCCGGAGGGTCCTGCACTGGCAACTGGAGGTCTACGAGTCAAGTTTCCATGGCCTTGCCAGGCTTGAAAGCAGCCGCCAGTTGGAGTCATTGACTCACATCTTTCACCCCTATGGAAGATGTGTGTGTGTGTGGCTATGGAACTGGGAAGTCTATTGTGGGGTCATTAGTCTTGTCAACTCCTTCATACGTTGCCTGACATGAGAGCATCAAGAGACGCAGCACATTCTCGCCAGCGCTTCATCGACAAAAGAACGACATGGACTAACGAGGAGGCCACTTTTGACTAGTTTAATCTTCGGCAATGTGACTTGCAACATTGAAATCAAGCATCACCATCTAAAGCCGGACGTTGAATGCTGACCATTGAAGTCATGTTTTTGCTCACCATCCAGCTGGCTCGTGTTTGCAAACAGCGGGGAAACCACAGAACGCCCGGGTCTAGGCGACTCGCCGGCTCTCGGCTCTAGCCCCGAGCTGCGGCTTGGATCCAGCCAGCCTTCACGAAGATGCGGTAGAGGCACAAGACGGTCTTCCTCAGAAGACCGAAGCCTTTGATATTAACCCCCCCCCCCCAAAAAAAAAAAAACGGTCGAGAAGGCCGGGCGGTAAAAAATACCAGGGGCCCCAGCCCCCGAGAAAAAAGGGCCAGAAGGTTTAATACCAGGGGGTTACTAATCCAGTGTTGACTTTACATTCCCCCCCCCGAAACGGGTCGAGAAGGCCGGCAGGTGAAAAAAAAAACACAGGGGTTCAGTAATCCAGCGTTGACATTACATCACATAGCGTTCAGCCATGGCCTCACTTCCGATTCTGGACTGACCAAAAACAAGTCCGAGCCGTTTTGGCGGCCACTCAAACGGTGCAAACCCAAAAAGGAAGTAAAGGAATTGAGTAGGCTGTGGGTCAAAGATAGGGTAACCCCAAAAATGAACCCTGCGAAATGGAACCAAAGACTAAAACCTGCGCTGTGGTGGTTTAATTTTGACCCACACCCAGTAGCCTTCGTCAAGCTCACCTGATCTGGTGATCTGGTCGTGTCTGGATGCCATTTCTCACCGGGTGAATCGGGCCTGGACCTTGCGCTGCTATCCCTCGCCTAGAGACTAACTGTAAGAGCGAAGTAACTGCGGAACCATGTCGACCCAGCCGCAGCCTTCCGATTGTTTCAAGCCTCCGCAAAGCAAAACATCTCCAAGCTAGCAATCAGTTGAAGCTCAAACTGGACACAGCAGTCCTGTGAAGCATGTATTATACATGTCGCATTGAATATGTGCTATCCGATTTCACACATGAATCAATTGCAGAGCCTTTAACAAGCAAAACCTCTGCACAAGGTGCAATGTTCAAACCTAGGAAGCCTCACACCCCAAGTGCGCCTCAACCACTGCGCCGGTTCAGGGGGCTTTTCATGGTGACCGTCCAGTAAAACATGGGCGAGCAAAGAACCGCATCACAGAAATTTGGCCATGGGGCAGAACCTATGGCTCCATTTTGGGGTGGATGAACATCCGTGTGCCACCTATTTGATGTTCACCAGGGGTACAGGGTTTTGACCCACAGCCATTTGACCTTCCGAAGAATTGCCAACCCTTTTGCTGGTTCGTGTCGAACACAAATCCTGTCTGGGAAGTACTGTGCTTAACCGGTGGGTGACAGCTGCCATGGCTGACTCTTGTACCCATCCCCTTCAATCAGCTTCCCTCTTGGCCGTTTGGATGGGTGGTTTGGTACTCTTAGAGATGGTTTCCCAGTTCACCGGGGGCTCATAGTTCATCATGCTCATCCGCACCAATCCACACACGCTACCAAAGAAGGCTCACCTTCACGAGCCCGAAAGGTGACGTTCCACGCCACCAAGATGAAAAGAGCGCCGAAATGCCTTCGAAGTATGGCTGTGGGTCAAAACCCTGTACCTCTGGTGAACATCAAGAGAGGTGGCAAATGGAGGTTCATCCACCCCAAAATGGTACCGTTGGTCGTGACCCACAGCCATATCCAAAATCCCCCCACCCCCCCGGGGCTCCAACCCGCCCTTTTCCCAGGCAGGCGGATTCCCACCGATTCCGCCCACCAGATTCCGGCCCCTTCCGCCAGGGCACTTCCGCAGGTACGCCCTCGAGGAGCTCAACCTTGGAGCTCCACGCGCGCGGGTGTTGACCCAGGATGTAAGTAGAACCCGTCCCATTAGGGGGGTGTTCCCACCAGAAGTGGTCTGAATCCCCACTAGAAGGGGACACCCCCCTATCAAACAACCAGGGGTTTATTAATCCGGGGTTAACATTATCTGGGAGCGAGCATCACTGAAGGCCGTAGGAAAATGATGGACCATATCTACCTTGCTGGTTTAGTGGAGCCCACAGCTTCTTGTTACACCAACCACTTCCGACAAGACACCCCGTGAACGGGGGGGTGGGGGGTTGCGGTGACCGAACGACCAAGGCCAGCACAGGGACAGCAAGTCGGTGATGATATCCCGGGAGATCTGTGCAGCTTGATTGGCTAGGGAACGCGGTACGGCCCCTGACTTCTCATGATTAGTTAGGCCCAGATTATAGAATGTATACTTGATTGTTTGCTTCGCTTTGAGTCACTGGAACAATGTAAAATGTGTTCTAAGTCTAGACAGGTTCAGATGATTCACTCGAAAGGCCCACGAAAAAGGCCTCAGGGCTTGCTCTCTCTTCCCACCAGCTGGTGGCTCCGAATCGATCGGCTTGTTACAAAAGCGCCGTCTGGCTGCTTCCTCACGAGGTACGTCAAGCTCTGGCACTAGAGAAGCGGCCAACTGGCCCACTGAAGATTCACTCGCCTAACCCATGGTGACGGGCCGGGCCCATGAATCAGCTGGAGGCGTATTAAAATTGCGGCTGTGGCTAAGAACAAGCAACCCCCAGCTGTTCGCTACCGCAAATGCCCAGTGACGTGCCAAAAAGCGAGCGTGCCCAAGAGCAGCCTGCAAGGGCGCTTTTGAGAAACCTGGTTGGATAGAAGCAAAGGCTCTTGAGCCGAAGTTCCTAACTGACCCCTTGCGAGAGGAAGAGGTCTAAAAAGGGACTAGCCCAGTACAAAGTGCAGGAACTTGGACAAACGAACAAGCGGAGACACGGAGGGAGCCGGGATATGGGGGGATTCCCTTGGCGCCATTTCCCATATCAAACTTAGTCAAGGTGTATTTAGGGGGAATACTCCCGTATCCTGTATCCCTGCTAGTTGGTTTCCCTGAGGAACTGGTCTGTGGATGGACACCCCAACGCTCCGCTTGGAAATAGGTGCTTGTGAACCAAATACCTCCGTGCTCGGCAGGGCTGCACACGTCTTCCGGTGGAGAAGGAAACCATTCGGCCAGGAAGCAGGGAAACGCGCTTCTTGCATTACAAGTCTCGGGCTACTGACAGGACAAGCAACGGCATGCATCTTTGATCTGTCCCATTGCCCCTTGAATAGATCCAGCGGAAATTACCATGCTAGTCTGAGTCGAACATGCACAATTGCTCGGTGACCGGAAGTCGTTGTTTTCAAGTGCAGCCATATCAGTCGCTTGTCATCAGGCGCTCTGGGATGTTCCTGGGGCCAGTCCCTTGAACAAATGGATTGGCCATCACCTCGGTTTTGCCTTTTCAGCGGCAAACTCCCAGCGGCCTCGGGGGAGCAAATGTTGCTGAGGCAGTTGATGGCCATTCCACTCTCGTACTCGCTCTTGGAGCCGAAGTCCTCGAAAACATCGAGGACTTGCTGGTGCTCAGAATGAGTCATCATAAAAACCCAGTACAAAAATGGTGAACCCAGAACCATGTAGGGAAATACAAAGGCGGCCGCCCCTATTTATGGTTGGGATCGTCCCTTGCTAACCTTCATCTACCCGAGTTTTGATAGTGACTCAAATGAGGGAATGACCCCCATAAGCCATCTCTTGTGGTTTCCTTTGAGGGCATCCCTTCAGGAAAGCCACGTTTCACCCAAGCGCGGTCGCCCTCCGTGTGGGGGTGCCTTTTCTTTCGTGGGTAGGGGTGTGGGATTAACTGATAGTGGTTTAGGTCCATCTTGGTCATTTCCGAGCATTGTTGACGCCCGGGGGAGAAACAACCCTCCTTCTTCTGAGTAGCCTGGTTACCGGCCCAGGGCACAGCTTGGCACCGCCTTCTCACTCTTGATGAGAATTCCGGGGCTGTTGGCTGCACTGATTAAACCCCTCTGTCTTGCGGATAAACAATGATAACAACGCCACAAGCCACCTTTAAGCATATGATGCATGTGCGATTATGCAAGTGCATGGCATGCATCCTGTTAATTGCATCAAACTCCATGCAGCATGCTACATGGACAACGACCAGCTGTCTCCAGACTCGAATCTACATTCCGGGGCTGAGAGGATTGTCAAAAGGCTCCACTGCCTGAGGAAGAACTGAAAAACATGTGCGTGTGTGCGTGTGCGCGTGTGTGCGTGTGCGTGTTCGCGTTTAATAAGGGAGCCAGAAGCGGTTTAGCGATCTTTCTGGTTTCAGCTTGGCGCGGGTAAGCTGCCGGAGCTCCGCGGAAGTGCGGAGGTCGAGAGATACCCATTGATCCCTCTTTGCCTCTCCAACAAATCCAACCTGACTGGGTCCTCCAGATTTGAGAGGTTAGAATAAGGGTACCGCTTCTTCTTCTGTCGTCTATTTTAGTAGGGGAACCCTCCCCCCAAAAGGGTCAAAGGCACTACTGGGGGACCTAGCTGAGATGCCCAATTTCAGGACCACCCCCGTCTTCAAGATTGCTGTTTTCATGGCCCAGGCAACGACAAACCTGTCCAAGAATAAAGGGATAAGATTCGGCTTGGCTAAGTGTACGTTATTTCACCAAGCACCAAAAAAAGAGAGCGTAAATTATCCCGTCCTTCCGCTATGTTAATATGTCATCAGATATAACCCTTCTTATCCTCCTCACTTTGCTAGCCCGCAAGTGGATCCAAGAAAAATCAGGTTATCAACCGACTTTGTTCTTACCCTCCTCATGCTTCTAGCCCGCAAGTGGACTAACTTTGAAAGCCCCAAAGTCAAAATCAAAGGCCCCGTCCTTCTTGAACAGGTTAATGGTGAGGAGGCCCACGTCCGTCTGCTCGGTAAAAGCAATGCTGGAGGCAAGGTACCTGGATCGTTTCCACTGCAAGTGGCTGGAAATTTGGGTCGACAGAATCCGGGCCCCAACACCATGGTGCAAGTGATGGAAATTTGTTGTAGCCACACAAAAACTGGCACCCACAAGAAAAAAGCACACACCTATTTAAGAAAGGAGCCTACATATATGTTTCGCCTGTTTCTGGCGAAAGAAAGCTGAAACGGCCAGCCATGGTCGCCTGTTCGGAAGGCTGATGGTGCAAAGCTAGACACGAACGACCAACCAAGTCCAAAAACCAGCGCTGCCCCATCTACACCGCGGCATTTACCTTTCAGGTTGCAGTTCCTACATTCAGCGATTGAACGGCTTGGTGGTTCTGCTTGTCTTCTTGTTTGGCCGGCTGGGGTAGCCCAAGCCAATGAAACATGCACCAAATACTACATGGCATCCCAGAGGGGCTTGAGGGTCTTGCAACTTGCAAACTGTACGAGTGGTCCAGAATTGGCTTTAGGTTGGTGTAGGGTTGGTTTAGGAGTGTCGGGTTGGGGTTGGCGGGCTGAGTTTGACTAGGTCTAGGATTGGTTCATGGTGGGGTTTGCTTAAAGATCGGTGGCTGGTTGGTTGGGGTACCATTGGGGCTTTGAAGCTTAGTTTTGGGTTGGGCTTAGGATACAGCAAGGTTCAGGTCGGGCAAACATTGGATGGAAGGTGTGGAAGAGAGCTGCCTGGTGGCTTGACAAACAAAAACTGTCCAAGCTTCTGGTTTACCACTAATAATGATCTTCCGAAAGAGCACAACATTTCATAAACTCGGGAAGCAAGCGGGGATTACTAGCTCAGCTAGCCCCCAGACCATCCAAGTGGGAAGCATGTCGACTTCACGGAGCCAAAGCATGGGGTTTAATCTCTGGGCCAGTGAACTTCCTTCTCAGCCTTCAGACCAAATGGTCCGTAGGACAGTCCCCAGTTCCCTCTTTTGCTCTAAGTTTAAAACCAAGTCGGAGGGGCAAAACGTGAAGCGCCTTTTTTGGGGGGCTCCCTTTTGTTGGCTGAAGGAAGCAAAAACGAACCCACCCATTCTGAAACCGAGGGATCCGCCGACGCCGGGCCCACGACCCCGATCCGACGGCGCACCCCGGGCGCTTGGTGGCGAAACGACTGGTACTCATCACCTGAGCGGCTGAAGCCAAAGCCGTGCACCAGTCCGGTCACCTTCATTTCCTGAGAATGAGCACGCCCTGCCCCCCCAAAAAAACCCAAAAAAAAGAAGCTCGGGTGAGATCCCAAAATCCCCAACAGCATGCGGTGCGCTTTTTAGTGCTCGCACCACCCCGCAGCCCTCGCAGAACCTCGTGGAACCCTGGTGGAAACCTGGTGGCACCCTGTTGGGGGGGAAAAAAAACAAAACAGAAGAAGAAGTGCGTTTGTGAGTGTGTGTGTGTGTGTGTGGGGTGTCTTGGTTGATTTCCCTTGACGCATCACCCAAGAGGGGGTCCCTGAACTCCCTCCCTTCTGTATTCCGGGTCGGTTCGCGCACGGCCGGCCTCAACCACTGCAAAGGTGGCCCAGCTCATGTCGTAGCCGAGCATGTTGAGGTACGCCAGCTGAACGGCGCGCTGGGGCGAAGGGACCATCATTTGGAGGGGGAGGGGGTTGGACAGGGAGTCGTTGTTGGGAGTGGGTACCCTTTCTGGAATGTCTTCAAATAGAAACCAAAGGCACTGCTATTTGTTGTTTGCGACCCCCCTATTTAAAGACAGACCCGTTTGGTGACGGATGACACCTAGGCTTTCACACACTATGGAACTTGCGATTGGAAGGCACGGCTACAGACCCAGGGACAACCCTCGAAAAGTGAGGAACCCTCATCTTTTCGCAACCCCCCTCCAAAGGCGTTGTTTTCCTTTTTTTCTGGGTGTCTTCGAAAGCTGGAGCCCTTTTTTGGAATGACTTTTTTTTGAAAGGCGACCTCAAGAAACCAGCTAGATTCCAGAACTCAAGCAACTGCCAGAGCCTCACTGCAGTTGATTGATCCGAGGTGAAAAGAAGAGGTGTGATACATCCAATTGCTTGCAAGCATAATTTAGTTCAACTCCCATTGCTCTGCGGATTCACCTGCCCTAAATCGAACGGGGGGAAGCAAGCCGTGCAGGCTTGCCGGCTTGCAGGCCGCCCTCCCCCGCGGTCTCCGATGCCTTCAAGATCGCCATCGACTTGGTGGGCATGTTCTTGGAGGTGATCTGGCGGACTCCCCGATTTGGAAAAAACAAAAAAAAACGCTCGGTCCAGGCGAGTTGGGCAGCAAGCCGCGCAAGTCAGGCGAAACGAGGAAGCTCTCCCGGTTTGCTGGTGGATATCTCTCGGAATGCCTCAAGCAAGCAGGAACAATTCAGAACCCAGATCAAGCGCCCCAAACACGCTAGGCCAACTTCAATTCATGTCGTGAGATCCAAAAAGCGGCAGGCGGCAATCATTCCCATGGGGCCTCCTTCTGAATCTCTGCAAGACATGTATTGATGTAGTCCTGACGCAAGGCTGGCCGCTCCGCGCAGGCGCTCGAAAGCTGGATCTGTGAGTGGTGTGTCGTGGTTCGACGGTGGTCTCTGTTTTCAAGCACTTCATGTCTCGAAATATTGACCCACATTTCCCCGACCCCCATGGATCAAATCTACACATGGACTGGGCTCCCCTGAAACCCTTCCGCTGCAGGGAAAATCAGGGGTCTCTCCGCACCGCCCGAGGCGCGGGCGGACTCTTTGCCCCGGTGGGCACGGATGCCCTTCACCATGGCCGTCAGCGACTTTTCGAAGACCTCGGCCGCGCGGCTCCGCGGCGCGGGGATCTTTCCTTTGGGGTTTCGGAAGGTCCGGTGGCCTGCGGCTCCAAAAACTTTGGTGCCCAAACTGTGCTGCCCGTTTTCTGATCCCCTGCTAAAAGTGACTAACCTAACTTTTAGTGGGTTGAATGGAAACCCCGACTAAACGCTAAAAGACTAAAAAGCTAATGGGATGGCTGGGAGCCACCAAGCAAAATGCCACCTGGATCGTTTGCTCATGGAGCATCTACAAGCACCAGGGGTTCAAGTGCCCAACCAATCCAAACCAAGGAAGGGTTATCAAACTAGCTGAGCCAAAAGAAGAGATCAGAGTCAACCCGAAGTTCATCTTCTTGGAGGAGCTTGTTCAGTTTACACCTTGAGCTTAAGGTGGGTGCGGTTGTTGCTCTCTGCACCCTCACATGTTCCATCGGCATCCGCGGCTGCCCGGCTTGGATTGAAGAGATGCTCTGGAGGGGTTTTAAAGGGAAGCCAAAAGGAAACTCACCATTTCTTAGGGTCTAAAAGAGACACATATGCAAGCCGTGTGGAGCTCTCACCTCACGCGAGGTCGATGTTGACAAATCCTTGACATGTGCCATGCAACAGGCGAAAAGCGGCTCCAAGCCACAGTTTCTTTTTCTGCTTTGTGCTTCTGCTTTTCTGGTGTCTCGGTGTGCCAAAATCGATTCAAAGCATGCGTTGCCACCCCGAACGACCCTTTTCTTTCGGGACTTGTGGCTCCGGGCCATGATGACGTGTCAAGACCTGCGCTTTGCTGCGGCGGAAGCAACTCATCATGTGACTCGCTGCAAGGCCGCGGAGCAAAAAAATGGCCGTGGCTCAAAAAACCGGTACTAAAACGGAATCCTGGTAAGTGGAAACATTGGCAAAAGCCTGCGGTTTGCCCCTCCTGGTTAATTTTGAGCCACACCTAGATGAAACGGGACCCGTGGGGTGATTCTAAACAGGACACCCGCTTTCGGCCGGCCAAGCACGTGACAAGCAGCTGTCCGCCCGCCTGCGATGTGTTCACCGCTATGTCACATTCTGTTTTGCCTCTTCTGCGTTGCTTCTCAATGGTCCTTGCTGCTGGATGGATCGTCGAGTGTTGTGTTTTGTGTTTTCTCCAGGCATGAGAAATCTGAATGTCACTTGAAGTTCTATCCGAAGACTTGTAGTCGCTGGATACCGATGTTAGCCATCCGGGGGACGAAAAGGCGCTGCAGGGGTTTGGATCAGGGGCTGATTCGGGGTAGTGCGGTCCCTGACGGGAACCCGAGTGATGGACGTCTGCCATGGAACGTTACCCCTCCAAACTCAGCCGTTGCCCTCAACCAAACCCCGGCTTGGGTGCCACGCATGCCAGCCAGTTTATTCCCCTAATCGTCCATGTTTTTGGCAAGGAGGTGTGAAGCAGAGCAGATAGACCAATCGAAGTGTGGATGTGAATGTTCCTCTATAAGAACTGCACATGTAGCTTGTGATCTTCCATTTGCTTCAGTTTCCTGGAAAAGCGATAGATTCCCTTTAAAACCAACTGGTAACATACAAAAACATGCCCTTAAGCACAAGTGATGGTTCCAAGAAACACCTATGCACTTCGGCTTCACTTGGCGCCTGATTCCATCAGACGCTTCGTTTTCAGGCCATGGGCGCACGGATCATTGGGTGAAACGCTGGAGCCCACTTCCCTCGGCTCGAGGGAGCCATTTGGCGCGCCAAACCTTTTGGCGTTGCAAAGCAAAAAGACGAAAAAAAACCACCTGGCCCACCCTCCTGCCGTGAGCAAAAGCAAAAAATAAAATAAAATAAAACAAGCCCCGGCTGTGGGGGGGGGTTTGGGGGGGGCAGTCTTTCCGTTGATTGCAAGCCAGGCGCGCGCAAAGGAGGCGTCCGGGCGTCCGATTTGGAAATGGGCCCCGAGATTTCGAAGACTCGAGCAAAGGGTTGATCCAAAAGTCCTTTACATAGGATGACCATTGGTGGGAAGTCCACTAAAAGGATAATACCAAGGAAGACCACCTGGGATGACCAGTGCATGGAAAACCAAGGAAAGGGATACGATCGTTCAACATGGGAAAGGTTAGAACCATGGCCGAGGCTGCGCGAAAGCTGTGTGTGATGCGAGCTCTTCAGCCTTTGTGCTCGAAGCTCTTCTTCGGGGCCCGGTCTCAGCGCTCTGTTGGCGCACAACTCACAGGGTGCTAACTTCGATGACCTGGCGCGGGCCGAGGGCCCTTCGAGCTGCAGGGCGAGGCCAGGGCCCGAGGCAACTTGTGGGTTGGGGTCCTGAACCATCAGCCGCTGTCCCCCACTCCGTTTCCTGGCGCTCCCTTGACCAACCATTGATGCAATGTTGAATTGGGATAGCGGCCTTCTGGGAGAGGGGGTCGATTCCTACGCCACCCGGTTTTTTGGCACGGGTGGTTTGTGTGGATTTTGCGTGTGTGTGTGTGTGTGTCATGTGTGGGTGAGTGCAAATTTGTCGCAGGAGTATTCGGCTCGGTCCGGAGCCCCACCAGATTCACGCTAATTGCAAGTTCGTGGCAGAGTTTGGAGGTCCATTCGCCAGCGCAACGCTAGTTCTTCCACAGTTCCAAACTGGCATTCATTGTCAGGGTTCCTCGTGAACATGCCAATCAAGGCTCAATGACTTATGCCTTCGAGGCAGGGACGACGGCCAATCAATCAGGAGGGTTCTGATCCGTTTGCGTCAAATTTGGGAGCACCCGTTGGGGGGAGAGGCTTACATCAACATGCAACCCACCCGTTTGGAGGGGGACGACTCGAGATGGCTCGCAGTGCTCCCATGAAACTGGCGGTTTCTTGACAACTTGAGAAGGACCTTGCTTCCGCCTGAGCAAACACAGCTATACTTTCCGTGATTGTTTGTCTCACGTCCCGACACTTCGGAGATATTTGATAACGCTGAACAGTCGCCTAGAACACTTGTGACAATTGGAGAGTCACCCACGTTGGTTCCCGTGTTCAGGGCCCCTGGTTTGGGGGAAGCCTTGGTGGAGTCTGGCTCAGCGGCCACTGCGAACTCTGTTCTTTTCTCATCTTTCCTGATGACATGTGTGTAAAATCCAACTCAAATCAGTGGAGAGCCAACATAAAATGAGGTAACCCTTAGTTGGTGGTCTGGATTGGGGTTTCCCACCCCGGAACACCGAATTGGGGGGGGGGGGGGGGGCGGTAAGATGAAGCGAACCAAGTTCAGACGCCCAAGCGCCTCCTCCTCAGCTTCCAACCTCCTGAGGGTACAGACTCCCCAAAACCATCTCGGCTTGGATTCCCTCCTTGGTGTCTTTCTGGGTTGAACTCCCACAGCAAAGGGACACCCATTCCTGGGGGGTCCGCCATTTTTTTTTTGAAACAAGCCATATTTAAAGTAAACCTCAGTCAGTGACTGTGCCCCTAGACAGTGCCCTTTACCCGTCACATGATCCCAGAATGGTTGTAAGGGTGGCAATTGATTGACTTCTGAGGTACAAAATACCCGATTAAACCAAGCGGGAAAAGCAAGCGAACATGGGAACTGGTTCCTTGTTCCCAACGTGCAATATTCAGGTAATCCACTCTTATCAAAGGAATCTCCTTCTCCAGATTTACATGGACCCCAAAACAATTTGCTAGAGATCTTTCCTTTTGGAGGACACCATTCCGGAGCTCCGTTTTGTTAGTTTGAACATATAAAATGGTTGAGTGGCCGAAAAGTGGTCGCAAAGAGTATCGAATCAACAGCACCTTGCTTGACGCGCGCTCGCCGGTGCTCCATCGAAATGGTCTCACCTATGGGGAAAACACACCCTGTTGCCACGGGACAATGGTTGAATGGGGCTCGGCTGGAGGGCAAACATCTGTACAGCATGATCCGTCCTTCTAATGCCAGACACAACTTCCACGCTAGAACCAGCCGAACCAGAGCCAGAGGAATCATGAAATGAGTTTTCAGCGTGCGGGGATCGCGGCAACCTTGACAGGAAGAAGCCAACATCGATGCATGAACCACAGAGCACCCAAGAATCACCAAAACAAGAACGCCGCAAATGATTGGCGGCAAAGACACCACACCTCCGATGCTCCTGAAATATGTCCTCATTCAGCCATGCCCAATCTGCCAACTCACAAAGGCTCAAAGTATCACTCTCTTGAGCCCAAGAAACCAGCAACCATACTGGGGATGGACGAAATCCTGCACCTAAAGAAACCTAAAAATGATTCTTCCCCTGCAATTACCACAATGGTTTGTCATGGTTTCCTAGGTGGTGCAGGGTTTTGTCCATCTACAGTAGGAACATCTTCACAGAGAGCCCTGCACGTGTCCTGTGAAACTCAAGCACCGAAGGACCTATGCCTCTTGTCCGAATTTCTCAATCCGAGCGTCTCTGGTTGGCGCGTGGGGCTCTGCAGCGAGAGGCCAGAGGCCTGTGGATCGGGTTCCTTGGCCAAAGTCGCGGACACATGTGGACCAAAACCCCACTTAACGCCTCATGGCAACACGAAACCACGAATCCAGGGGAATTTTACTGGTTTTCCAGGGTGGTTGGGTGGGAAACCCATTTACTCTCTACAAGAATTAACCCCCCAAACAACAAATCCAAACCACAAACTCATCTAGGGGTTGATGGGTTGATTCCCCATTCTTGTCAACCATCCTTCTTTTCAAAAACCAGCCGTTTTCCCTTGTCTAGAAAGAAGGATTCCTGGAAAGAATGGGGAAGGTACCTCTAGAACCAACAAAAATGCCTGTTTATTGGCCCCTTGCCTTTGATGTTCGAGAGAGCACTGCTGAGGTTCCTACAAAACATCCTCCGAAAAGACACCAAGCGGGGGTTGCCCGTTGACCATCTTCAGCTTAAACAAATCAATCGGCATAAGCGGGAGGTTTGGAGAACCCACATTGGAGGAAGGGTGGGGCAGTTGAACTACCAGGTCTTCGATCTCGCATGTTTCTGCCATCCAAATGCTTGGTGCACTTCTTTGTGCCAGGCGCGGTGCTGGATGCCTTGATTCAAAAGCAAAATGCGCGTAGCCCCAATGTCATCGGCATTATGTTCTCTCACCCAGAACCTGAGACATGGCCATCCGAGGAACTTATGGCAGGAAACTCTTGAGGAATGGGAAGGAAGCCCAGCAGCTGACCAAGGAGCACGCTGCTCTTCTGGTGCGACTCGTGAGCTCTGGGGACTTGGCATGTCGCTCCAAGTCCAAGCCAGAGGGTTCCAAAAAGCGTAACCCCAGGGCCACCAATTCTCAGCTGCCCAAAGGACCCATGTTAAAAAACAAAAAAAAACTGTTGCGACGAAAAAAGGGAGGGAATCTCAAAAAAAGTTGATCCGGTCGATTCGCTTTGGGCCAGGAATTCCTTGGGTGCAAAAGGCGACGTGCACGAAAGGACTCTGGGTCGCCGGGCTTCCCATTTGATGGGCCGATCCTGCTGCCACGTGCCCCGCCGAGTGAAGCCCTGGCGCAGGAGATCCGGCGAGTCAGCCGAGCCCAGCGGCTTCAGAAGCTCCCGGATGAATCGGTCTCCCCGGTGGTCCCTTGTCCAGTTTTCCAGTGGCCATGGAGACCTGGAGTGGCTGCAACTCATGTGGTGAACATATTCGCATGGCTCAAAATGTCTTGAGCCAAAGAGGTGCTGGTCTGTGCTTCCATCTACCAAGAGACCATTTTGGGTACCACTTTTTGAACCAGAGCCATATACCAAGCATGGGTCGGGGGGATTCTCAGATTGCGTTGGAAGTGTGCAAAGCATAGAACCGGACCCTTGAATCACTTGTGCTACCCAGAAGGGTTGCCATGGCTTTCGGGCTCGGGCAACAACACAAACTAAGCCGAACCCCTGGTGGTTGGGCGCGGTGCCAGAACAGCGCGCCGGTCTAAACCGAGAATGACCACGTGGTTGATTCAGCGAGAGAGCGGAAGCCCAAAGATCCAGAGGACGTGGCAGTGACAGCATCGGATTAGTGAGCTTCTCCACTGGAAGTATGACCCAACTGCACCTCTTTTGACAGGCAAGCTGATCGCTTTTGTCTTGGATGGTGTTGCATTTGCTAGTACCAGCTAGGAACCCAACATTTTTACAAGAGTAGCTGAGGCTACATGTGAGTGGGTGGACAAGAGTCATCCGCCCTGAAATACAAGTTGCTCCAATTCGCCATTCGCTCATGGAGGTGCAAAACGAAACATGGGGGTTGATCAAAAGGTCCTTTGCATGATGAGCATTGGTTGGAAAACCAGTAAACAGATTGAACAAATACGATATGTCAACCAAAAGTTACCGAAGGTCAAAACTGCTTGGTTGACGCTGAAAGGGGAGCCAAAAATCAAGTTTTAGCAGCTAAGTGCGGATTTCCCACTAAACCACAATAAGCAAAAATGCAAAATGTTTCCCAACCACAACCGAGACTGGGCGCTAAAGGGAATATTGATTAACCCCTTATGTATCTACCCTAAAATACCGCATGAAGCTTCCCATGGGTTTCCTTCCGTTCTAATTCCCATAATCCCATTTCTTCCCCCAGCCTTTCTAGGTCCTCCAGTAGAGAGGATAGAATAAGGTACCCTTTTTTTCGGTAGTCTATTTTAGTAGAGGAACCCTCCCGCGGAAAAGGGTAAAAGGGCACTACTGGGGGACCTAGCTTTCCCCCAGTATCCCATGATCTCGAGATTGGGATCGACCTTTGCAAACATCCCCGAGAGCGGGATGAGCGAAGTGAAAAACAACAGAGCCAACAAACAACAACCTTGACTTGCTCAGGACAGGCATGCCAATTCAGAGCGAGTAGGTCCTATGTGTATATATATATATATACATATATATATGTAACGTGTTATGTGATATATATATATATATATACATATGCGTATAAATGCATGTGATTAGTCTGCTTTAAGATGAGTCAGTAGCGACAGGCACATATATCGCAACTCTGCCCAGTCTGCTTCTGTCGCGTCGCGTGTCGCATGGAAAATCGATGCGCAGCACGGCGGCACTTGCATTCAGATGAGCCTTGGCATTGGTGTAGGTCCCGATCCCATGTCTTTTGCCAGCCACCTGAGCGGACTCTCGAGCAGTGGCAGATCAAAAGGTCCGTGATACCGTACCATACCTGGGATGACCATTGGGTGGGAAAAGCTACCTATGGTCATTTGGGCCATTTGGCGGCCAGGAATATTGATCAACCCCCATGTGGCAAATAGAGAGTCTGAGAAAAAACAAAAGAAAAAGAAGAAACAAAAGTGATCCTGCTTTAGGATAGATCAACGATTCTGGGCGACTTGACGTTTCAGAGTGCCCAGCAAATGTCAAGCCCTTTTGCTCACTACGGTCTCACGGCTGCAGCTCCTTGACTTTGCCCAGACCACTCATATCACCTGATCCAGCGAACCCAAGTGGAGTCATGTCGCATAGTTGGTTTGCAAAGAGCCAGGTGGATATGGATCAACGTGAAACCACCAGGGGACCACAGATTTTGGTTCATGGTTTCATCAACCTGGGTTCCATTTTGGGTACCTTGCTTGACCCACAGCCACGAATGTTCACCAATTTCCGCAATTCGACTGCGCCCCATCAATAAAAATATAAGGGTTATAGGAGTTAGCTATGAGCAATGAAGTTTAGCCCCTTATAATACCTGAACAAGACCTGGAAGGAGAGGATCATTGCTAAGTTTTCAGCACTCAACGCGCTAGACGTAGGCTGACCGGGACGCGGACCCACTGCCCCTCGTATCTGCGTCCGTCCTGCAGCAACAAATCAAGATGGCTGGTACAAGCTGCTTGCCTGTGAGATGCAAAGGGCCGCTCCTGGGTGGGTCTTCACCACTGATGCAAACACTGACCAGTGCTCAGTGCCACGCAGTGGTCGAACATAAATGTTTTCTTGCAACAACAAGGACGGAAGGCGTAAACCAAAGACGAGCCAAGCAACATGCAAGTTGCAAGTCAACAATGCTATTCCCATCCCAAAATGCAAAGCACACCTTGGGCAGAAATAGCTTCTGTCAAACTGTCCTGCCAGGAGAAGGTGCCGTCGCCGTGCTTTCGGTCCTGACAAAAGCACGGCCAGGTTTCTAGTATTCATGCCGATGTCTCTCCTTTCAACCATCAGAACTGCTGATGGCGTTGGCACATGGTATCCAGGAAGTAGTGTTTCAGAACTCTCCTGGTTGACAACACCTTGCAAAGCGAAAGTTTGTGACCTAGCTTATCCCCTCCCATTCGAGAGACTGGCTGCTGCTCAGTAAATAGATGGACAATCAGACTGAAAGAAAGACAAACAGAGAGATAGAAAGGGTAGAAAGATGGAGAGTAGAGAGATTGGAGAGATAAATAGACATAGGTCAGAGATAGGGAGATAGAGAAAAAGGAGATAGCGAGATAGAGAAATAAACAAATAGAGAGATAGCAACAAGAGGGGCCCGCGCACCCAAAAGCAAAACCGCCTGCAGTGAACTGTAGCACGTGCCCCCCTGTCCCTGCCAACCGGGCCATAGGCTGGATATGTTGAAACCTTTTGCGTCACGTCCCAGAAACAAAATCCGTCAATTGCGTCACCAGTTGCCTTTTTTCAAACCGCCAGCGCCTATTCAAAAACGAACATGTCCTGCTGGAAGGTGTGGGCCCCCAAACTTGGCGCAAGTTGGATGTCCACAGGCAAACGTTTCGCAACGACAAGCCACGAATGCAAAGTGACCCTTGGGTGGGAGACGGGATACGAGAAAAATCAAACCAGCGACTGACTTGTCCTCAAACAATGTGTCTGGGTTCCGGGGCCGAAGCCGCGAGACAGAACAACCAAATGGTCTTTCCAACTTCCCTTGTAAACATCCCAGTCATGTTCTGCAATCATCTCACCATGGCAAACAGAAAGCTTCCAACTCGACGGCAGCGCCCTGCTCAAGTCACTCGGCGTCGGAGCAAGCCAGCTGGCAAGGCAGCCTTTGTTTACGGTGGTAAAATGCCTACTTTGTTTGCGGTGGCACAGCCTGTCCCTTTTTTTCCCCTGCGCAATCCGCAGTCAGTGACGGCACACGACCGCCTCTAGGCGCCCTCCGGGCAAGACAGCGCCCACGATCTTGGAGCTCGCACAGGACGAACTCCAGCCAGTGTCCGTCATTCGCTCAAGTTCGCCACAAGCCTGGAGAAGACTCCGCCGAAGGAACTCCTGCGAATTCGACTGCGTTCCTCTCGGGGAAGCCTGCCAAGCCGTCTCATAACCACAGTGGACCTCTGGAAGTTACGCACGACGACCGCCATAGCTGTGGATGCCTGGCCCCATCAGGGAGCCATAAAAGTCAGCGCCAGGTCTTGCCGGGCAAGAGCGCCACCATCGCGATTGCCTTGCAGGCGGCCACGCCGCTTGATGGCACAGGTCGTGCGAACTTGGTCGAGCCGGGCCTTGGCACTTCACCGTTTGGCTCCAGCCTTGGCATTGTAGGCGCGTTTGTCAACCTGATGCGTGAGTGTGTGGAACGCTCGCTGCCACAGTTGAAAGTGCTGCTGTGGGCATGCGCTGGAAGCATCGCCTTCTTCTCCATGGCGTCGCTTCAAAGCAGGTGCAACCGGAGCGCCGCTTTCGAAGTTAGTGTGAGGCAGCCGCTCGCGCAAGGGCGCTCGTGCGAGCAGAGGGTCTGCAAACTGTGGGTCAGGGTTGGTGCAAAGCGCTCCAACAAATCCTTGATTGCGCGGGGGCTTGTGCTATATGATTGGAACCGGGCGGTTCTGGATTGCGAGCCACGGGGGGTGATTGACCGGCTGATGGTCAAGGTGAGATGAGATGTCTACACGTCTTGCAAGGGGGCCCGCGCGGCTCGTGAAAAAGCAAGCAAGCTCTGGTTCGTGGTTTGTTGCAGGCGCGAGGGGTTCCAGATGCTGAGCTGGAAGCCCGTTTTTGGGGCCAAGGAGACGTAGTTTGCAACGGAGAGCAGGCTGACCCACTTGTCAAAGCGACTGCGGCCTTTCAGGACGACTTGCGCGCAGGTCTCCGTGGGTTGCCCGTCCGTTAGGTGCGCAGGTGCACCCAACACACGCACGTGCACCCAAAAGGCCTCCCGAATATTCTATGGTAAGGAATTAAAGAAAAGGAAATTCGGAGGACAGTGATCGCCAGGCAAAGGAATGCCTCGAGGGAAGAAGTTTGCCCCCGCAAGACAGTAGTTCCTTGATTGCCTGCGCTTCCTTCCTCGCGTGCTTCAACGTCATCAACTTTGCTGCGAGGCGGGCACTGCACGAGCACCAAGCAACGCCGACAGCCACAGCCCTCATCTTGAGAGCACCAAGGCTGGTAGAGGGAGCGGCAAGGAATGCAATTACAGGGTGGCGACAATGCAGAATTTCTTCTTGCTCTTGGCCCTGGTCTCATACGTGAACACCTGAACCACGCGCACGATACTTCCGTGCGCAGGCCAGAGGTGGAACTTAAGCTGACAATCACCTCAAACCTCTTCGCCTCGCAAGATGACCGCCATGCCGGCACTGAGATTTGAGCACTTTCCCTCGCTCGCACAAGTTGGCTCAGACTGCTGACGCATGCGCCTCTCTGACCCCCATTCACCCAACCCGACCTGACACTGCTAAGCCGCGAATGGCTACAGGGGCCTCTCTACGTCCTCATGTAACACTTGCTTCTTGCAAGGAAATGACGTGCGCTTCGATGCGATCATTCTAGAGCCTCCTCTATTTCCACAAAAAGGTAGGCCTTTAGAACAAAAATGTGCTCCTCATTCTTGCAGTCCCTTTTTCCGGACTCTAGAACCTGTAAGATCTTCCCTATTCTAGCGGCCTTCTGTTTTAAAAAGGGAGGAGACCCTAGAACCCAGGGGCGTTGAGCCTTTTTTGTGTCAGAAAGGTCTAAAAACCCACGAATCTTCCCTCGCGCACCCGTTCTGCACTACACGGCCGTTCCCCACCCAGCCCGACGCACTCGTTCTGCGCCACACAACCTTCCTTTTTCCCTCCTTTTTGACTCCTCCCTTCCACGCGGCCCGCCATGTTTCTCTTCCAGGCGTGTGAGACTTCGATGAATCGATGATCACTGAACATGCTGCGAGGGTACCGGGACCGCTGAGCAAACTCGGGTTGGTCTTTGTTCATATCTGCATGCGGCATGTGGCCTGTGGGTGGCACGTGGCGCACCTTTCTTGCCAACATCCAAATTTCAGGCACCTGCCAGCAGCGATCCATCCAGAGGCAGCGTGCAGTCCAAGCCCTCGCGGCTGCCCCACTGCACCACACCTCTCTGCACCACACGGAAAGCCCGGCCGTGCCCAAAATTTGGCCGCGCACGCCGAAATTGAAACCCCTTCTTCTCTCCGTCCAAGCGTTCATCGCTCCCCAGAACCTAGAGGAACCTAAAGCAGAAGCCAAGCAGAGATGTGTTTGGGAAAAAAGAAAGATACTGACAGACAGACAGACAGACAGACAGACAGACAGACAGACGGACCGACGGACGGACGGACGGACGGATGGATAGATAGATTAGATTAGATTAGATCAGATCAGATTGGATTAGATTAGATTTAGCTTAGATTAGAATAGAATAGATTTAGATAGATAGATAGATAGATAGATAGCTAGATAGGTAAACAGATAGACATGTAATATGAACTAGCTGGATTAGATAGGTTAGATAGGCTAGATAGACGAGATTAGCTGGATAAGATAGTGGACAGATTAGATAGATAGACTAGAATAGATTAGATTAGATTAGATTATATTTAGATTGAATTGGATTGGATTGGATTGGATAGATACATAAATAGATAGATAGATAGATAAATAGATAGATAGATAGATAGATAGATAGTCAGAGAGATGCATGGGTGGGTGGGTCACCCTGGATGCTTGGGTGGATGGATGGATGGATGGTCGGACGGACGGACGGATGGATGCCTGGCAGGCGGAGGGATGGATGCATGGAGGGATGGAGGGGGGGTGGAGAGATGGAGGAAGGGACTTGCTGATCATGTCCCATTGCTCCTTCTTCATGGCAACATATGGCTGCGGGTCAAAAGCCTGTACCGCTGGTGAACATCAAAACAAGTGGTAAATGGATGTTCATCCACCCCAAAATGGAGCCTTAGGTTATGCCCCATGGCAACATATCGTGTCCTGGTTAGTAACCTGCTGGAGCGTTTTCCCACCATCTCACACAATCAGAAATAAAGGGTGGTTCAAAGAAATCTTCCGCCACACCATTTGACCAACTCCCGCTTTCTGGCGCACAGCCAAGAAAACTAGCCACCACTCAGAACCCTCATTGTGTCATAAGCGGTAGACTGAGACAAGCCGCCAAACTCTGACTTTGGCAACTTCACAAGTACTCAAAGACTTGTGAAGGTTTAGGGATTGACAAGCATGTAGCCTGGATCTTTTGCTGAAAAACATCAACTCAAAGAATCACTGAAACCAACCGGCGGCGAAAGCCCACCTCCGCATACTGGCCCACATATCTGCGCCCATCTGGCCACTGCATCACCTTCGCCGCGGGACTCCCGCTGAACCCAAGAGATAAGAGATGCGGTTGGTGTGCGTTTTGGAACAGATGGGTTTCCCTGGTAAATGGGGCATAAAATCCATCTTAGCCAGTGGAACCCATCGATTTCTAACCTAAGTAGCCTAGGAAGACACCTATGCCGGAGAGATGCGACATACGATCCGGATGCACAGGATAAAATGGCTTTGCAAAGCCCACAAAGCAGTGGGCAAAGGCAAGATTTGGCAAACACCTTGCTGTGTGGGACGGCTATCACTTGATGGAAGCGCAGGCAACAATGAACATAGCCCCAACAACCAGCGGAGGTTTTGAAAGGATGATACCACCGGACAGACCAACCGACCGACCAACCAACCACTCCTAGAGGAAGACGAGGATTCGAAACATGGCGGCCTTTTGGGCTTCGCAATCTAGGTGCATTGCGTTTACACCCCAAAATGATGGTTTGCCCTTTGAAAACCACCCAAAAAATGGTACCCTCAAAAACAGACACGCCCTGCGCAGGCAGGGCTCTGTGGTATGTGTCATTTCAAGAGATCGGGGAAGAGGCCATCCTGACGCTGACTGCATTTTAAGCAGAAGACGTGCGTGCTCCAAGAGGGTCTGCCGGTTTTAGGGGTACCGAATTGATACATCAGCTGTCTGGAGATCTCAGACAGAAAAACCAATATTAATTTCCATTTGGTTTTTGGACCCCTGGAAAGAAATAGGTCCAGTAGTGATAGATTCCCTGTAAAAACCAACAGGGGAAAACAACACCATATTCTTAAGCAAATGTAAGTTAATTAACACCCATCCCTTCTGTTTGCTTCCTTTCGTCAGGGGGGAATCCAACCTCAGTCGCACTAAACCCAAAAAATCACCTCGGGCCCGCCACCCAGCCCGTTCCAGGGGCCCCCACGGCGGCCCCGTGGAACTTGCCGTTCCGAAACCTCGCCGAGCGAAGCGGAAGAGCCGGCGAGTTAGGCCAGCCGTTTGCTGCGCAAGAGCCGGCGTCGTTGAAGTTGCCAAACGGGGGTCGCGGGGGGGTCGAAACTAATTTACTATAGTGGTCATGAATTCTGGAGTCTAACAGTGCTATAGGTTGGTTGGCATTGAGGAGTCTAACCATGCTATAGCTTGGTTGCCTTTGAGGAGTCTAACTCAGTCTAACCATGCTATAGCTTGGTTGACGTGGGAAGGGGAGCACAAATTTTCAGATTTTAGCAGTTCAGTGGTTGGATTTCCCACTAAACCACAATAAGCAAAAATGTAAAATGTTTCCAACAACAACCATGGGGTTCGTCTAGCCATGCTATAGTCTAGCCATGCTATAGTCATTGAAGTTGCCTTAAGGGAGGAGTCTACCATAGGGGGTTCGTCGATGATGAGTGCAAGATTGGCAGCGGATACAGGGGAGAACCCTGCGGACGCAGGGAAAGTCTGGGGAAAAAAGAACGCCTTGAGGTATCTATGGAACCTCTGAGGTGGATGTGCCGCAGAAACTGGAGATCGGGACCGTTTCTTGCGGCCGATCAACTTGGAAATCCCTGGGGCTTTGGTTGATTAAAGGAACACCGAAGATCAAGCTGCGCAAGCCTCGCGCTGTTCCGCTGGGCACCGTGGAACCGTCCCCTTGTCTCAAAGATTCAAAGGTGTCCAGGTTCTTAGAAGCCACGCGAGAAATCCTGGCGAGGCTTGGACGCTTTGGTGGACATCATTTTGGGTGGGGATGTATGCCCACCAACCGCTTTTGAGAGCTTCCCTAACAATCATACAGGTGATGTTGCCACAAGTATCCTGCAAGTGAGATGGCTGCAATGTTCATTCTGGCTCCTTGTACAGCTGCTCTCCGCAGGACCCGCAGCAAGAATTGAAGGCCCCCAGGGCATGATGGCCTTGTGCTAACTAAAGTTTACCTAGCCCCCGCAGCCCGCAGCTGCCCAGTGGATTTCCATGACCTTTGGCCGGTTGAGTGTAAAGGCGAGCCCTTCCCCAAAAACCAGGCTAATTAAAAGTTGCCAGAACCCTTCCCAATTCCCCCCCCAAAAAAAAAAACAACAATGAAAGGAAAAAGAAAAAGCGGAATCCACTGGTTGCAACTGGGCCATCTCTGGACTACTGCGGTCCAGGCCCGCCCTCGTAGCGCCGGCCATCATCCCACTCCAGAGCACCCAGCCTGCCACGAATCGCGGGTGGGTCTTTCTGAAGGTCGCCCCCCCAAAAAAAAATGGCGCGGCGGTTTTTCCTTCTCTTTTGGTTTCCCTTTAACACCAAAAGCGGTTGGTACCCCCTCCAAAAAAAAGATGCCCAGAATAGCAGGAACGCAGCACGAGCCGCCCTCTCGCTACAGGGAAACCTGGGACTCTTGGGGCTGATGCACCTCCGACCCCCAAAACTTGTGTGTGTGTGTTTTGTTTTTTTGCGGAGTGGAAGGGCAAAGCCGGAGAAAGCCCCCAGTCGGCCTCATGGTTTGTCCCGAAAATGATCTCCCACAGTTAGCCCCACAGTCGGCCTCATTCTTTGTCCCCAAAATGATAGTTTCAAAAGTTTCAAGCCCAGAAAACTCGTAGAGTCCAAGCGACGCGAGCACCAGCCAGCTCGACCCATGCTTCATGTCGTTCTGGAACTCGCCCTGCCAGGTTCTCGTCGACTTCTCAGTTCTGGGGCCCAAACCAAAAATGCGCACCCGTTCTGACCGGAGCCACCAGAGAGAGAGAGAGAGAGAGAGAGAGAGAGAGAGAGAGAGAGAGAGAGAGAGAGAGAGAGAGAGAGCTTCAGGACACGGGGAAGTGGGAAGACTAGTGATAACTTTCAGTGATCGGGTGAGAATGGTGCGGGAATGAATGTGATGTGTGAGAAACACAACTTGAAACCTGCGGCACAAATGAAGCGACTGCGATCCTGGCAAAATGGAGCTACATCTACCATCTTAGGATCACAACAAAGCACAGAACACCAACGAACTGCTGAAAGAAAACAAAACGCCACGTTCCAAAACGGTGTGGCCTACACCAATCCGGTTCGGATTTGTCTTTTGGGTGCACATGACGTGCGGAACATTCATTTGCCACCCATTTTGATGTTTTTTTTATCAGGGGTGCCATTGGCTTTGACCCACAGCCAACGGAATTGCCATGCCTCGTAGGTGTAGGTGCGCATTCGCAAGCGCCCCCTGCCGTGCCTCGGAAAAGGCGCCCAGTTTTACGGTCCCAAAAATACCGGCCCCTGGCACATGCGAGCTTGGGATCTTCACATTTTCTCCTGCGCCTTGCAGCCTTTGTGGCTCAAATTTGAACTGGGGCAAACTCCAGGGTTGATACACCAGGTGCCGTTTTGGGGATTCCTTTCTTGAGCCACGGCCATATCTCTTTAAGGTGGCAAGTGGACTCCCCGCCTCACTTTTGACCATCTCCCGCGGTCAAACTTGGGACAGGCCAACTGCAGTGAAATCAGCAGAAGAAGATGTTTGTCAACAGGGGGTTGGTCAAAATGGATTTCGGACCCCCTCATGATATTCAAAGGAAGCCAAACGGGAGCCAACCATTTTAGGGACCACCATTTTGTGAAGGCCCCAGCAGGACAAGAAAGCAACATGATCCACCAGTCACAGACGATCCCCTGGTTTTAACACAGTCCTCAAACAAACAACCTGCAAAGAACTTCTCAGACTGAAAATAATCACTTGTGCGACTTGAAGCGCAGGTGCGGGCTCCAACTCAAAAATATCCCCAAACGATTCAGCGCTTTAAGTTGCCTTTTAGCTCCACTGGGTGACGACGGCTAGCTTGACATGTTTGCCTCTTATTTTGAGCAGGGCTCCGGTCATCTATTAACGCTGGTTCTGCCGGAACGATTGGACACGTTCATATCGGCACTCGCTTGTTGGGCCAAAGTGGCTGTTTTAGGTTGGTGCACCTACGAATGTGCATATATACACATAATATATATATATATATGTACGTATTATGCATGTTGCAAAGGAAACTTCTCCATGGTGTCAAAACCTGCCGGACACCTCTGTCCGGCTTTGACACATTCCGAAGACTCGCTCGAAGCATACTGAAGGCCTTCGCCGGAGTCTGAGCCTGGACCTCATGCGGCTACCTCGTGCCTGATACACAGGGGAACGCCTTGGTTAGCCAGAGATTTACTGGAAATCCAATTGAATCAGGGAACAGGGAACAAGCGTGCCACTCAAAACGGGGTGTAGCTTCCTTCCAAAGTTGGCTGCATCAACTCTTCAAACATCCCAGGTGCTGCCCCTTCCGACGGATGCCCCTACAAGTGGAAGGGGCATTGGGGGGTTGAGGTCAAATACCTGGCCGTTCCTTCAGCCTCCTGATATGTTGCAAACGGATCAAAGGATGGCCCTCTCGTTCCATGGCTGTGTGTCCAAACAAAGCTACAAACTGCAGCCTTTTGCGCTCGGAGTTGTGGAACCCATCCATCTCCCACGGTTATAACCCACTTACCATGGTTGCAAGTCCAAGCGGGAGCAAAACAAAACCAGGGTGGTAAGTAGCCCACTTACCATGGCTGCGAGTCCCCTAATGTTGACCCCAGATTAATAAACCCCTGTTTATGAATATGGGGGTGTCCTCGGTTTTAGTGGGGATTCAGACCACTTTTGGAGAGGAACACCCCCATATTCAATTAACAGGGGTGTGCCGTTCAGATTGGCGTGCAAGGAATCACTTGACAGGCCACAGCGAACGCGAGAAGTGTCCAACGAAACGTGGCTGGCTCCAAATGGGTCGCAACCAGATCGGTATCAAAATGGTCCAAGCCCAGAAACACGCCCGGGCGGAATTGAGAAGGCGGCACCATTTATGGCAAGGGGATTGTCGATTACTGACCTTCTGGGTATGGGTCAAAACTAATTCACCAGGATATGGACCGCAGGTTTTAGTCCATGTTTCCATTTAGCAGGGCAAGCCAATTTGGGGTTACCCCATTTTGACAACCACAGCCATCTCGGGTATTGAGTAAGCTTCAAACGGATGCCTCAAAGAAGGGGACGCGCCCCAAGCGCTTCAAACGCCGATCCGCTGCCGGGCTCATGTTTGGGAGCCCGGCGGCTTTGCCCACGACAAGTACTTGAGGGAATCTACAATAGAGCCAAATCAGGCAGAAAAAAGTACCGCTCTCCGATAAAATGGAAACTAGCATGTCAGCATGTCTGTACAAGTGACATACCCAATCTATCAAACACTCGTCAGGCCATATCGGTTGAGCATCCGATTCACAAAACACCGCGCTCGGCACTGCGGCTGAAGATATGCTCGGCTGCCAGGCTTCATGGTACCCAAGTAGGTGCCCTCGTAGCTAATCTCGTCCCTCTTGTCCTCCGCAGGGAAAGACCGTTTGATAGATGTCTATAACGACCAGGGGACGAATCAAAACCACAGATCACTCCAACTGCTTCCTTTGAAGGTTGGCTCCCTGGTCGCGTCGTCCCAAGTGTGGCCAGATTCAACACACATCCGAGATAGAGAGAGAAAGAAACACAAAAAGAAAGGACTAGAACTAGATAACAAAATAAGCAATAATCTTTAATTGACAAGTCAAAACATGAAAAATGAAGCAAATAGTCATTGGTAAGACAAAACATGTTAAATGCAGCAAGTATTTGTTGGTAAGACAAAACATGTTAAATAAAGCAAATATTCATTGGCAAGACAAAACATGTTAAATAAAATAATTAGACAAAGTAACACAAAATGGTGAGATGGAATACAACAAGTCTTACAAATTAATATTTGTGTGATTCAGTTTAGAATGGCGCCACAATATAATGCTGGAGTTTCATGTTCTGGGTTGAAATGAATGTATCTGTCTTGCAAGCAGTGCATGCCAAAAATAGTATTTGGAACAGATATTGATAGCAAGAACTCTATGATTGTCAAACTATTCTCGTGAACTTTGTATTGGCTTAAAATCAAGGTCTGTTCCTATCACTAGATAGCTAATACACATTGCTTGCTGGTGTTTGAAGACTCCAGCCCGTTGGCAGGCTACTTGCCAAGGAAATTGCCACGCCAGCTGCTCCAAGATGACATGCATGCGATATGTGCCCCTCATCGCATGACGCGATGCACAATGCGCAATGCGCAATGCGCAAAGCTCAATGCAATGCAACGCAACGCAACGCCTTTCATCACGATATGTTGCAATGCCTTGCAACATCACTCATCGCCTCGCATTGAGATGCAACAGAGTAAGTTGCAGTCGAATAACAAAAATTGTCAGGAGTTACGTGTTCAGCAAACTGAAGCTAATCAGCCAGGCACCGTAGCCCATTGGCGGAACAAAAACAGAAATGTATCAATGAGTCTTGTCTTGCTTGGTCAATGACGTGGAAAGGCGGGCCTATTTCGGGTTGAACGAGTTGAAATCGACTGTGACAACACGTTGCATCAACGCGAAGGGTTTGCTGCAAGACACAGGCCGGATAATGCCTGCGAATCATATTGTGCGCTTTGCCGGCATTTGTGCGGCTCCGCGCGGCCTCCACATGCATGCTTGGCTGCGGGGGGGGGGGGAGCGGGGGCCCTGCTTTAAGGTTGTCACATGCACATAATTTTTGGCATCGCACGGTGGTGGCCAGGACCGTCTCCACCGCGCCAAGTTTGCCGCACGACGCACGACGGTTAGCCCTCCAAGCGGATGCCATGAGCGCTTCCTAAAAAGCACGTCCGGAAGCCTCGCCTCCTCTACAGCGGGAGGAGGCACTTCCCGCGCGGACAGCTTCACCCCGTCCACACGCGGGGTGGGTCCTGTCGTAGGGGCACCGCCGTTCTTTTTGGGGGGAGGTTGGTGGAAAAGGGAAAACCGAAGCCATTTTGGGGTAGCCTCTATTCATCCCCTGAATAGTCTTCTTGGGGCTTGAAGTCTGGAATCTGGAAAAACCAGCCAGAGCAAGGCAACTCCCGCCTGACGTCCGTGATGAGCCAAAAACTTGTTGCAGCCTCTAATTATCTGGCTTCATGTTGCAGAGAATGAACTTGGATCCAATCAATGGCCCTTCAGATTCACCTCAGGCTTCAACAAGTACATGTCATGAGCAAGTCACATCCAATCCAGGTGAGCTTTTCTCAAGGGTCGCTCTTTCTCTTCTCCTCAACCACACAATAAAGTCTGGCGTCCAAGCATCCCAACTCCCAACCACCAAACCAACCACCACGATCCACCCAACTGCCCAACTATATACCACCATCCACCTTAACCACCCCATCAACCTCCCAAATAACAAGTGATTGTGTTCAAACAACAAAAACGGCTGCCCCATACAAAAAACCTATGCTTCCAATTGTTGGCTTCGTAACAACCGTCATCCAACTGAAAATCCTGAGTTTTCCCCGGTCGCTTCGGCGTCGTCCTGGCGTCCGGAACTCCCCGCCATCCCGCGGCGTGGCTGTGGTGGACACCTGCCACGAGGGGGAGGGGGCAACGACTTCGAGTGAGGGCGCCTCGGGGAAAAACGCGACAGGGGGAAACGAAGGAAAACGGGGGTGGGGGGGGGGGGGGAATAAGCCCCGGTGGTATCCCCAACAGCCCCGGAACACTCCTTTTGAAGCCTCCCTGAAAGCGGTCCCAAACCACGAGCTGATTTGGGCAGAGACCCAGCTTGCTGACGGGAACAAGTGCACAAATGGGTATGGCTCAAAAAAAAAGTATTCCAAAATGGGTTGCCCTGGCAAGTGGAAACATGGACCAAAACCTGCGGTACCCTGGCTCTTTAATTTTGAGCCACGGCCAAATCGTAAAGAAAGCTAGAGGAATGAGAAAAGAGGAAAGGAGACTTCATGAAGGCGCGTTGCACAACTGGGTTGGCGCTTCACAGGGACTAGTTGCTGGGCTGTTCAAACGGTCAACCGCCTTGTCCGTTTCTCCTGAAAGGAAAAACATAAGGAAGACACGACAAGCTTTAAGGGTACCTTGTTTCGCCGGCCTGTTCAAATTACAGGGCTGGCCCATCTGTTTTATACTCCATACTCCCTTCTGGAAAAGGCACGATGAGTTTCCGATTGGCGTATCTTCAAGGCGTCAGCGTCTTTCTATGGGCCCGAAAAACCCCAGCAAGAAGGGTCATAATGTAGACGGACAACATCCGATCGCGCCACCTTTGAAATCATGGGAGACTAGTGTTTTTTTTTTGCAGGGGAATCGAATCATTCAAGGGTTTCTTAGGCGGTGCAGGAATTCGTCCGCGGTAGTCACGCGGAGGTGTTGGACCAATAGACCTGCGGGTGTCAGGATCCTACAAGTGATTGTGGGAACTGAGGCTGTCTTCTGGGATGGCCCACTGAGCTCAACCCTGTCCAACAAAGCAAAACACTGCTCGCTGCTCTTTCTTGGCCATGGGTCAAAATCATGTACCCCCAGTGAACATCAAAAT